GTGTAAGCCAAAAAGTTGAATAATTTTTAAGTTCTAGTTTGTATATTTTTTGTTTACAAATGTGTATTATGTTCAACATTAATATCATGAAGTTTTAAGAGTACTTTTTGGTGTTTTTGTATACTTTTTTTGTTGAGCTGCTTAAATAACCATTTGGTTAACTCCCCAGAAACTCAAGCCACTTGGCTTAAACATTCAGACCGACTCTTGCCAAGGTTCATTAACTTTGTTATACCGGCGCTCTCGCCCATTTACCCAAAGTTGCTCCCCATTCTTAAGCTGGCTTTTCTTTTATTTATCGAAAACGTCGTCTCCCTATTCAGTTAAGTTCTGGCTGCTTTGGCTCTTCGCCCAGCAGTGTTTTTGTTTTATTCGCTCCCTTTACTTTTGGCCGCCATTATGTCTGCACAGCATTTCCGGTTCACGCAGTTCGGGGCAAACACAAAAACAAGTGCAGGCAGCAGCACAGAACCCGCATTGACCTACTGTGCGTGGTCCACGTGAGTCACTAAAACACAGTGAGTCTTCAGTAACTTGAACTAGAATATGTTAATTAAAAATCTAGTTCATGCAATTTATAACTAAAAAAAAAAAATAGAGTTTTTGTGTAACAAAAGTAAATTCTTCTGTACCGAAAGCTTTATTTGCATAAATACAAATCTTACCAAGGAAATTCGAACTGTACATCTGCTAATACTGTCTGCATGTAAGTGTGAGTATCTGTGTGCGTTCGGTTCTTGTGGCAAGCAATTTCAACTTGTGGCAGGTCATGTCCGCTGCCCATCTCCCCGCCCACCGCTCGCCACGCCGCCCTAAGCTTGTTGTGATGGGTAAACGGGTAAACTATTTGATATGCGCTCTCGGAAAAGGTTTGTTGACTGTACGGCGTTAACTGATGTGGAATTTGTGGAGGGTTCGTGAAGTAAACTATTGACTTTTGGTATCTGCCAGATGTCTGCATTAAAAATAAATTTTGTTTATTCTCTGATATATATATATAATATAAAATGTTAAATAAATATTCAAATTTAACATTCTTGGAATAGTGGTACAGTTATCTTGTTTTTAGTTTAATAAAATAAATATTTTCATAAGAGTTGATTATTAAAATAGATATAACAGGCTGTTTTGAGTTTGCTCAAAATTCATTGTTAGCTAAAATCCAAATTAAATAGTTTAAACTATAGGGTATTGAGTTGTTTCTGTTCCATTTCCCGATTTCTTCCTATTCTTATTGACCAACAAATGGCTAAGAGATGGTGAGTGGCATTGTCTGGCGTATCGTTAAAGCCACCTGCAGAGAGGCTTTACCACCCACTGCCCACCGCCACCCACTTTTCTCCCCCTTTTAACGATGTTTTCTCTCTCACATGTGCTCTGCACAATGTAATGCTTTCTCTGTTTTCTCTCTTCAATTTTCCTCTCTCGCTGCAGGCACAGTAAAAACCAAAAAGGAAAAAACCATTCTTAAAATATACAAAAAATAATAAAAAAATTATACCCATAAAAAATGGGAACAAAAATTTTAAACCCACAACAACACACTATTTTTGTGAACTAAAAATATACCTTAAAACAAATATTTTAATAAAAAAACAAAAATAAAACAAAGTTTTTAAATATAAACATAAACTCTTTCCGCGTACTTTCCTTTTAATATGTTTGTTGTTACTGCAACGCCGGCAAACATGGTCGTATTTTTGCCTTCGTAACTTCTGCCACTCGGTTGCAAGCTCCTCGACGTGCCGATGCATTAAAATCGCATCGCCGGCAGCAGCGGCAACATGCAGGCAGCACGGTGGCAGCAACATCAGCAGCATCAACATCAGTCGCTTCCGTTGGCTTCTGGAGACCACCAGCAATAAGTGTTCGCTAAAATAGTCTTTTGATAGCCACTTTTCTATGTAGTTTTTGCGTTGGTAGTTTACTGAAGTTAATACAAATAATAATATTGCCAATCGATTGGTCATTTACTTAATGGATGGCTTTCATATGCCAAAAACGAATAACCCTAAAAGTCTGACTTATCCGCTCTATCCAATGTTGAATAAATTGTATATGAGTTCGGAGGAATTTACATTTCTGCCGCGGTAAGTAGAAATGCCGGATAAAATCACGAGTTCGTATATTTTGTTGCTTTTTTGGTTGTCAACGAAAATTTTAAATGACAGGATGCTAATGGAATGCAAATGACAGTGTTATGGGGCTGTTTGATGTAAAACGGAAGAGTTCGTGCGGAAATTACAGAAAAAGTGAGGAGTAGTTGCAATATTGAAGTACCTACTTGTGAGATAGTTTTACTAAGCACTTTGAATACACTTTCATAATTTCCAGAAGTGTAAAAGTTTTGGTTTGGTGCTATAAAAACCTTCTACTGAGTTTTAAACCAACTGGATTTTGGATTAGAAGTGTTCTTTCGAATTCGGTTAAATAATGGCAATTAAATGTTTTTAAATTTATTGAATCTTAAAGCAGTAAAAGTTTAATACAATTTAAAGGCAGATCAGGGGAAAAAAACTTATTTACCACACACCATTCAAAAGATGTCAATGTTCTTCTGTTTGAAGTAAATGTTTTCATAGGAAAAACTTTCTGTTCCAAAAACTACTCGACACTCAAGTGGCCCCACTGTGCTGATTGTGCGTCTTAAGCTATCGCTTCAGTTAACTGATAGATTTGACACCCCGACAATCTACTTTGCATGATTCTCGCAGCACATGTCACACGGCGTCCAAGTTTCCTCCGTTGGCTGTGCCAAAGTTTTGTCATCACAAGGCCCCCTCCATGCACCCCTTTTCCCCCCAAAGACGAGCTATGCATATTCATGAGGGAATGATTATTCCGACCAGCTCCACACCACCCCACTCGCGCATAGCATTCGTCGAATGTTCTTCTACCATTGACTTCGCTTATCGCGCATTGAACTCTGCTGTGACCTGCAGACATTCACACATTGAAACCAACACGTACACACAGCAAAGGTCAACATTTTAGCATCTAAACTACGTTAATAAATATCAGTTCTATGAGTAATGTGTTCTCATCTCCTCCACAAGAATCTTGAAATTAAATAAATTCTACAAAACTGAAAAGATCCATCATGCAAAAAGCTCCTAATATATAATAAAATGCAAGAAAAAGGATCATCCTTATTTTAATATTTAATAATGAGAAACAGAAAAGAAATTCTAGTTTCTTTGTGAAACTATTATAATATTTTTGGGGCTATTATTCTGAACGCAAATGTAATCTATACACATTAAAATTTGCATTGCATGCTTTGCATTCATTCTTCTGTAGCAGCTCTTTTTTTTCGCTTTCCGTTTACCATTTTTTGTTACCTGTTTTTCCGGCCTTTCAGGTGGCGGCGGTTCCCCTTTGAGCTTTATTTATCTAGCCCGGGCTTTCATGTTTCGGGCGTGCCTGGCATTTCTCCATCGTTCCCCACTACTTAATTTAAATCAGCTCTTTAGTTCTTAGTTTTTTTTTTTTACCCCCCGAAAATGTCTGTTGAAGTTTTCCACATCCCCTCGCTTCTATTGAAGTTGAATTGCAAATGCAAGCCGCGTTGCCTACTTTTTTGGGTGGGGAAAAACGCTGAAGGGGCTTTTGGCTGGGAGGAAAGTGAGGCCCTAACAAATGGCTTTCAAAAATGTTGCCCAATCAAGCGCGAACGAATTTTGACTTTTATGGGTTTCTCTAATTGTTATGCAAACTGCTGCTGTTGACTGGAGTGTTGCCGCCCCACTGGCGCTCCGTCTTAGATATCCGAAGCCCCCATTTTGGCCCCGTTTGCGGTTCGGGCCGCGACCGCTTTGGCTGGCAAGTTATGGCAGCAATTAAAAGTTTTGTGCTGAGTACTTGAAAAAAGCCAAACCTACAAACCACCCACAAAGCGCCCTTTTTTCTATTTATCTGCTGGAGGGACAAGAAAAAAATGTAGGAAATGTAAATCATTATTTGTTTGCAGTAATTAACATCTTTTATTGTTAATTTCTTTCTAAACTTTGTTAAAACCAGAATGCAATCAAACTACTAAAACTAAAACCAAACTATTTAAAAATAATTTCTTTGGCGAGCACCAATCAATCTGAAATCTGAGAAAATCAGAACAACGTACTTTACAAAGAGGAACGCAATATCACAAAGTATTTTTAATAGATACAAAATAAATGCAAAAATTGAATGGGCAAAGGGAAACTGAAACCAGAAGCAAATATAAATAACAAACAGGCAGAGTGAAAATCGAGAATAACAACATCGAGCCAGCTATAAAGCGCACTTATGGCCCGTAATGCTGGCGACAATGCTCACAGTACAGTGAAGCACCCCTGGCTGGCACAACTCCAAGTGGTTTTGGGTTTGGGTGGGGGGATGGATGTGGAAATGGGGAATTTCTTTGGCTTTCGGGATTCTTTGGCGTCCGCATTAGTGTCGCCTTATTGGCGGCCATTGTGATGCCATAATTTCTTGGCCCATTTGAGCTTGGCTCAGGTTATTGCACTTCCTTCGAATGGAAAAAGCGGAGTGGCAGTGGGAAAACACTGGGCTAAAAACGGGATGGAAAACTAGTGAACGAGAGGGGAAGTTAATTGTGCATTTTCTTCTTTTTAACAAAACCTCTTTCGTGATTAATTTGCTATTGATTTTTATACTGGCTTGTAATATACATAACATAAATATAGGTTAGAAGTTCTTTTATTGCAAGTTCATATAAAAATGCATTTTCCGCCGTTTTCCGTGTCACTGTGCCTTTTGAAAAGACGTCTGGGCCACAGCAAGCGGATTACTTCCTGTTGCTATTCGTTGTGCCATTTTATACTTACCCGTTTTGTAAAATTCTGCTTGAGAAAGGCGACTCTGCCCCGCGGTTGACGACGACAAGAAATTAAAAATTCAAATTATGTAGACTGTGCAAAGGACCGATTCTTTTGTGCAGCAGTAGCGAGCTAAGCCCCCAAGGATTGACCAAGCAAATTGTTTTCCTTCGTATTTTCCAGCATTGCCGAAGAGAAGAAGAAGCTGGGCAACGACCAATACAAGGCGCAGAACTACCAGAATGCACTCAAGCTCTACACGGACGCCATATCGTTGTGTCCCGACTCGGCGGCCTATTATGGAAATCGTGCCGCCTGCTACATGATGCTGCTCAACTATAATAGCGCCTTGACCGATGCCCGCCATGCCATTCGAATCGATCCGGGCTTCGAGAAGGCCTACGTCCGGGTGGCCAAGTGCTGTCTGGCTTTGGGCGACATCATCGGCACCGAGCAGGCGGTCAAAATGGTCACCGAACTCAATGCGAAGAGCACGGCTGTCAGTGAGGAACAGGCGGCGGCGCAGAAGCTGCGACAGCTGGAGGCCACCATTCAGACCAACTACGACACAAAGGCCTATCGCAATGTGGTCTACTATCTGGACAGTGCCTTGAAATTGGCTCCAGCCTGCTTGAGGTGAGCTATTAGATCCATAGAGATCTTAATTTAATAACAGATTGATTAAGTTCCTTTGAATAATTCAATAATCCTTCTTTTAGATATCGCCTTCTCAAGGCAGAGTGCCTTGCCTATTTGGGACGTTGCGATGAGGCCTTGGACATTGCCGTGGGTGTCATGAAGTTGGACACCACCTCGGCGGACGCGATTTACGTGAGGGGACTGTGCCTGTACTACACCGACAACCTGGACAAGGGCATCCTGCATTTTGAGCGCGCCCTCACACTCGACCCGGATCACTACAAATCCAAGCAGATGCGCAGCAAGTGCAAACAGCTCAAGGAGATGAAGGAAAACGGCAATATGTTGTTCAAGTCGGGTCGCTATCGCGAAGCGCATGTGATCTACACGGACGCCTTGAAGATCGACGAGCACAACAAGGATATCAATTCGAAACTGCTTTACAATCGGGCATTGGTCAATACAAGGATCGGCAATTTGCGGGAGGCTGTGGCCGATTGCAATCGGGTGCTGGAGCTGAATAATCAGTACCTAAAGGCTCTGCTGCTGCGGGCCCGCTGCTATAATGATCTCGAGAAGTTCGAGGAGTCGGTGGCCGATTACGAGACGGCGTTGCAACTGGAAAAGACACCCGAGATCAAACGACTATTGCGGGAAGCCAAGTTTGCGCTGAAGAAGTCGAAGCGAAAGGACTACTACAAGATTTTAGGCATTGGCCGCAATGCCACCGATGACGAGATCAAGAAGGCGTACCGCAAGAAGGCACTGGTCCATCATCCGGATCGACATGCCAACAGCAGTGCCGAGGAGCGCAAGGAGGAGGAGCTCAAGTTCAAGGAGGTGGGCGAGGCCTACGCCATTCTGTCGGATGCCCGCAAGAAGGCGCGATACGACAGCGGTCAGGATATCGAGGAGCAGGAGCAAGGTGAGGCATAAATATGATTAATACTGAATGTAAAATAAATATTAACTTTTTTATAAAACTATTCTTTTCAGCTGACTTCGATCCGAATCAAATGTTCCGCTCATTCTTCCAATTCAATGGCGGCGGCCGCAACAATTCGTTCAACTTTGAGTTCTAAAGTTCGAGAAGAACAACAAACACACCTCACATATTCTGCCTCATCGGAAGCCAACGGGAACCAACACAGCAGCGCACAAATTTTAAACCCTTTTGCATTTTTTCTCCCAGAAACAACCAGAAATCGTTTGTTTTTTGTGTCAAAGAATGAAAACAAGCTAAGATTAATGAAAAATTTATGAAATCAAATGACAAATTTTAAGTGTACTTTCACATGTTGTTTTAAATTCAGTTTTGGCGGCATTAATTCAAGACATAATAAACTATAAAACCTGTAAAAAATATTTATATAAAAAGATGTCAAGTTGCTACTATTATCCAGTTGTTGTTGGATCCGCCGGCATTGCGAGTCCTGCGTTCAGATTATAGGGAGGTGTAACTGAGTAATACATAATGTTTAATGATTACGTAGCCTTATCTTATAACCCATATTATTTGTACCATTAAGCCAGACACTTAAGTTTCGTTTTTAAGTTATAAAAGAAAAAAAAGAACACCAATCAATCAAAAAAACAGAAAAAGAAATTATAACGCATGCGATTTAGCTTTATTTTGTGTAATTATACGATGAAAATTGTTTGTGAAGCGAAAAACCTAGTAAAAGAAATAATGAAAGATAATTATGAATGGTATTAGTTTTTGGGAAGAGAGAGATTAAGGTTTAATTCCTCAGAAAGGACTGGAATCTTAATTTTTTTTTCACGAGAATGTTCGAGGTAATTCAATGTGTAAAATACCAAAGACAAACAGTTTGAATGCCATCTAGCGTATGTATTGAAAACTAACTGCGTGTAGTATGACTTTGGGACAAGGACTGTCAAATGTATGTAAAAAGTGCAAAAGCAATCGATAAATGTAAAAATAATCAAAAACTGTGTTGGCGCGCGATTTAAATCGTTATGGATTTTCTAACAAAAATATAAAACGAAAAGTCCTTAGTTTAAAAGCATCAAACCATTTAATCTCTTTTACACCACCTTTTATCAATATAGCAAGAAAAAAGGCCACTTGGTTTCTTGTCAGACAAATAGGTACACACATTTATTTATGTTTTTTAGCTGCAGTTTACACAATCATAAAACACTAATTTTGGTTTACTTTTCATACGCTCTCACACAACACACGTTTTTGCACATCGATGCCAAATAAATTCTCGTTATATTTATAGACAATTAATTTATTCACGTCTAATTTTCCACTTTTTACACATGACTTTTCTTTTCAGTTGGACTTTTGTGGTTTTTGATTTTTTTCTACGCTAAGGTAAAATCTACGGCTAAAAAACGCAGCAGCAAAAGCCGAGCTGCATTTCATCATCAACCTCAACTAATCATCTATCTCATTCTCTCATTTATGTGACTAACTAATTTGCCCATATTTTTATTAGGTATACATTTATTTATATATATATATTCATATAAATTAATTCAATGTTTCTGTTTTTGCTCTGCTTTGCTTTGCATATAAAAATAAAAACTACTTAAATATTATGCAAAAATCATTAGGACCTAAAAAAAATAAACACGAAAATATACAACAGTTTTTTGCTTTTCTTTTTTCGTGTGTTTTTGTTTTTTCCTTCTTGTTTCTTTAACGAACTAGTGACGACAGTATTTGTATAATATAGGTAAAAGTTTGCGGTTGCTTTTTGTTTGTTGGTTGGTTGGTTTCAGTTGTTGGGTTTTGGATTGGTGACTTTTCGACGACCAGACTTAAATGACTAAGAAAACATCTCTGTTTCAAAATAAGGTACAATGATATTTTATATATTTTGTTATCCATTTACATATACGTATATCCATATGAAGATATATATACAAAAACATACAGATTTTATAAGTGCCTTTCTCAACGGTTAGCTCTTCGGGAACTTGAGTTTCAGTGGTGCCCAAATTGGAGCTTGACTTTTTAGCAGCCGCCTTTCCTTGTCTTTACAATATTTTTGCTTACTTTTTTTCTCTCTCTGTATTTTTTTTGTTTAGAGCGAGGTCTACGTATATCGGGCTGGAACATCTGCAGCCAGATAACACCCAGAAGTGGACGATCGGCCCCAAGGAATTAATGGCAAATGCTTCGCTTCCTTTGAATCCTTGCTGTTTGCGGTTATCTATGGTCTATGTAAAGTGTATTTCATAAGTAATACTGAGATTCTGCTAGTTAGATGTCTCAGGTGTGTCGACGACCCCATTCCCAGACCCATTCTAACCTATCTAGTATCTATGTAGTTTAATATTGAAGTTTCGAACAAAATCTAAACTATTGTTTATGCATCCCTCGGAACAGAATAGAAAGTAACTTTGGTTTGTGTTCTATTTTGCTTTTTGTGTTTCGTTCAGGGAGAGATGGCAGATAAAAAACATTTTGCTTGTATATTGGAGGTCTTTAAACTAATATAAAAATAATATATGTATAGTACAAAATCCTTAGAAACGTTTTTTGGCCACATGTATAGAAAACGAATATAAAAAAAAAACAAATTATTACTTTAACATTGCACTTTGTGGCAGTTTATATTTAAAAGCATTTTAGTTTTTTTTTTAAATAAATATTGCAAGTTTAAGAAGTCCTTAAAAAGGAATTTAAACTTTAAAAAATATAACCGTCCTTTTTTTTAAGTTGTTAAATATATTTCATACTAACTAGTTACCCTATGATATTTAAACTAATTTTGATTTTTGAAGTTACACCTTTCCGGTATTTATGATCGAATTCTTCTAGGTTTTATTAGTAGCTTTAATATGTTTTGCACTCCAAATCATCTCCATCTCTCCCTTTTATCGTATAAGTACCTTACTCCAAGCTTTCTTCTTTATCTTACCGCTTTCTCTTCGCCTAAGTAACGCTGCCCCTTTTTTTTTTTTCTTCTGCCAAGCTTTGTACAAATTGGTGAACCCGGTCCTGGCCAAACTAAAAATAAGTTGTACTGTTTTCCGTATTGGTTTCTGTATGTATTTTTTATCTGTATTTCTCTGTTGACTATTGTATATTTCAAATGGAATTCACTTGCCATGCTGCGGGGCGAGGATTGTCCTGCCCAGCCTGATCCTGTTCAAACCCACACCGATGCCCAGACCCACGGCCCCACTACTACTTCCGTTCCCCATCGCCGTCATCGTCGTCGTCCACTTCTTGGTGCGCCACTGTCACTTGGGCTGGATCCTGGCCGAGCGTTCCAGCTCATTGAACTGCCCGTAGTACAGCACCTCGCTGATCAGCTTCTCGGCGATTATCCGTTGCGTTCGATCCATGGCGCGCAGTTTCAACGATACATTCGATCCGATAAAATCGGAATCATCGCGATTCAGGGACTCGGCGTAGAAGGCGGATGCTGCAACGGCCGCCTGGGCGGAAACACTGCTCTTGATGTGTCCGGGACTTGCCGCTGATTCGGTGGCTTCGTCGTTATCCGGATCGGGTTCCTCGCCATCGGACATACTCTCCCGGGAGCCGAGCAGCGAGGTCATCAGCATGTGACCCGCACTCCCGGCACCCGTCAGCTTTCGCATATTTAATGGCATAGCGGGTGTGCTGGCATCACTGCCCCTCGGCGGCAGGACGAAGGCACCGAAATTGGCCTTGGCCTGGGCCACCCTCAGATCCTGGGCCATGTCCACCAACTGAAGGCGGCTCTCCTCGCCCGCCGAACTATAGGAACGATGCGATTCTGGCGGTGGCGGTGGGGCAGGACCAACAACCCCACCACCAGTCGACTGGCTGGCTTGGAAGTAGTCCAACTCCTGCTTGATGGCCAGCTCTTCGTGACCGTGATGGAGTTGCGGTGTTGCATGCTGCTGCTGCTGCTGCTGCTGATGCTGATGCTGATGCGGATGCTGCTGCGGCAGGTGGTGCTGCGCGTGCGGATGGTGGTGCATCTGCTCGTGCGCCTGCCGCGGAGTGACCGCTCTTCCGGCGGCGGGACTGTTCAGCAGGTGGTTCTTGTGCGCCTCGTGCATATTGGTATTCGGTATGGGACTGCTCCCGGCATCGCTTAATGTCCTATCCGACTTCATGGGATCGCTGGCTAGATCGTTGGCGTCTCTACTACTCGATCCACCACCGCCTCCACCGCCAGGACCTCCTCCTCCGCCCGCCGGCGAACGTCGCTCCAATTTGGCCGCCAGTTGTCCCAGCGCCGCTGCCGCATCCACATCCTCCTTGGTATTGTTGTTGTCCTCATTGTCCGAGGTGTCCATGGTTTTCAGCGGACTCTGCTGGAAGTCACTGCTGCTGCTGCCACCGCCTCCTCCGCCAGTTCCGCCATGATAGCCCATGGGCAGCGGGACTCGCAATTGTTGAGGGGGCGCTCCACCACCCCCTACACTTCCTCCCCGCTCGGAGCCACCGCCCCCGGAGCCAGATATCGGCGGCGAGTACTGACCCGCCGTATTCCAACTGTCCAGCGTCTGACTGCTCGCTATCAGCATGGGGATATTGAGGCCCATCTGGAAGTACACAGTGCGGAATGAAAACGAAAAGGTTAGAGATAAAGCATTTTCACGCGACTGTCCAAAGGTTCCGAACTTCGTCATCGTGACGCAGTCCAAAAGATTGGACAATCCAGATAGTAAACCCAACGACTTGGGCTACTTGAGAACTTTAAACGACCCCATAAAGTTATTAAATGAAATCCAATAATTAAGAGCGCTTCCGGTTTTGAAAAGTAGTCATAAAGAACGTTTATATTTTAATATATGATACAAATTAAAAAGAAATCTTAATGTTAGCTGTTTCTTTACTTGCATATTTTTTTATTTTTATCAAAAGCGGATTTCAAATGTGTTATAATCATGAGCTCAACAAACTTTTAAGATAGCGAGGAAAATTGATTTGAAAATTAAGCGTAATGATGACTTTAAGGTCTCGTGATTAGCTTTTGAAAATCATGATGGATAAGCGCTTTTCTATTTGATAATCGCTTTCCGATTAAAACTAGGGTTTCCATTTTAGTTTTAAGCAGCAAACAAATTTCTTTAAAAAAAATTAAAAATTTATGAAGATTTAGAGGCGAGGGAAGTTCGTTGGTTTTTTTTTTTTTTGCTTCGCCATTAGATGTAAATTATTTAACTATTTTTAAAGAGAAAATAAGGAACCCCTATAGGCATTTTGACATATCTAAATCATTTAATGGGATTCCCAAATAATTGCATTGTTTATTACCCACTGAAATATTTATTTTTTGTTTTTGCATTCCAATGCCGGTCAAATCCCCTTGAAAAATTGTTTTTGTCAATTCTTAAATAAGTCCGAAGCATAAATTAAAAGCGAAAGAACGAGAACTCTAACCAAATTATGATAATAATGGTAAATAAATTATAATTTGACTGCTCAGATTTTGTTGTCTTTTTTTCTATATGGCAATCACACGAAGCGATCAAAACAAATTAGCAGACACACGCAGACAGGCAACAAATTAATAATTAATAAATAAAAGGAAAGTGTACTTTTACAAGCTGAAGATTGGACGCACTTTCAGTTAAAGTAAGACATATAAAATATATACATTTTTACCTGTATATCAATAAGTCAGTACTACCATTGTCATCAATTTATAAAAACTAAAGACCTTTAAGAACCATTATTCTGATTTTTTTCCGTAATCTTTTAATACAAAATTAAGCTACATAACAAAATGTATGTTATTTTAGTAATAAATGTTGGAAGGCAACGAAAGTGATCAAAGCTCTGATCAGAATTGTAAAACCCTCTCAGTCAGAGTATAAGCAAAACACAAATACAGGCGGCAAAAGTGCGCGAACTTTCCAAACAAACCCCCCGTTAACCCATTTGGGGCTGAGACTCACGTTTGATGGGTCTGTTGTTGTTGCGGCCGATTCTACGGGATTTCTATGTGTGCCTGGAGACCGCAAATGAATGTTGTTATTGCTGTTGTGATACTGCATTTTGCTTATCGTATTTTTTAAAGATCGGTATTTTAAATGCCTTCTGTTTACACTTGTTGTTGCCCGTGATTTTTTTTGTTTGATTCTGTGTGCGAAAGCGACGACAACGCGACTCAAACTCGTAATATTTTTGTCCGAAATTATTCTAGCGGCGTAGTAAAAATTTTCGAACAACCGAACAACGTGCGAGAGTAGAAAAGAGCAAAGAAACAAGTGAGAGCGAGTGAAAAAGCTACGATTTTAAGGGAGAATTTAAGAGAATTTTTTTTATTGCAGAGTGTGAATGAGTCATAAAGAGACAGAAGGGAATTAAACGGTCCTCTGATCGGAAAAATTACTTGCTGATACAAAACAATTATTATTAAATTAAAAACACGGTACAAGGATAAAATTGCGATTTATTATGAATTTTTTGCTTGTCATAGTGACTGATCAAGTCATATTTACCGTTCCTACAGGTAGAAGAACCGATTACAATCAAATAGATTAAAAAAAGTTTATAAAATTTAACGAAATTAGAATACAAGAACACTCCAATATCAATATCCGAACTTATAGTCTTCTGTAAAAACTTGCAAATGTCAGCATTAGTTGGCAGAGACTCGCGCCACTTGAAAGAGAAGGTCCAAAGACTTCTTTTTCCTTAACAAATCTCAAGAGCGGAACTGAGAGAGGTCTTTAGAGAGTGCTTCAAATGGTCAGGCGACGGCATTAAAATTAACCTACCTCACGAAAATAAGTTAACAACAACTACAATAAAATGTTTAATGTGGTCGACGACGATCAAAGAAGGCGCAACCTCTCTTTCTATTTTGGCTTTCGTCACCCCGTTCTGTCTAGGCAGCGATCTCTTTGATTTCGCCTTCTTTCTGTCCGAGTAGTGGCGCCTAGAACTTTCCATTAAAAAGCTATGACAAAAGCAAGGGCTTTATGAAATTGTTTAAGAACACTTAGTCATAACCTATAACTGATTGTCTAAAATAGTAGGTATGTACATACGTATTTCAACTCATTCAAAAAAATTAAGATTTAGTTAGATATTTAATAAATATATTTCCGAGTAATCAGCTGATAAGTTTGTCAAAACAGTTCCCGTTTTTATTTTCAAACATTTGCTAACAAAATTTTTCGAATTTTGTTTATTGGGGCATCCCGAGAATAAGAGTTCAACCTGGCTTGTTTATTTGTTATTGCCCCCGCTGCTGTTTTTAAGTTTCCTCAACTACGCCGCCAACCCCACACGCCACCAACCTTCCCGTTCCCGCTTGTTGTTATTGTTGTTGCAGCTGCTTTTGTTGTTTACGCATTCAGAGCAGCGTGTGCGTGTGTGTGTTTGAGTGCGCTGTGTGCGTGTTTGCATGTCTGTATTATTATTTTGTTAAGGCAAATAAAATAAAACAGACAAGAGAATGAACTCGGTCTTGCTTGCTCTCACGCGCTCTCTTTCTACCTCTCTCTATCTCTCGGCCTGTGTGCAACTGAAAAATGTAAACAAACTGATTATCATCCAATCCAATGAATAAATAACACACTACACAAACTACGCGTCGTCGCTGCTGCTTCTACTCCTTTGGCACGAAATCCGCCTCTGCCTCTCCATCTCCCTCATTCACCGCCCCTTCGCCACCTTTCTCCCCAAACACCCCCTTTCTGCGCGCCGCCCATTCACAATTGTCGCAAGTTCGCTCTTTCCACTTCCACAGTAAAACATCCAAAACTCAATCCACGAAATGACTTTCTTTAATTAGAAAAGCAATCGCCACAACTTTAAAGTGCGTGCTTTTAAGAACTTGAATATGAATAAGATCACATTATTTACTATAAAACTCAACGCATATTTAAAAACAATATGTTTAAGAAATTTAATGTACTGAAGTTCGACTTTTCCTTTGCTCACGCAAATGTTTTTGAAGTATGTAGGATAGCGATATTTTCGCAAAAGCGCAAACACCGCAACAACAACAATAACAACAATTTCAGCGCCAGTAACAACAACAGTTACTGCTACACTAACATTAATGAAACTGCCATGAAAACCGCAAGCGCAAGCGCCGCACACAAAACCCCCAATCCCCTTGTATTCACCCCACCAAAAAAAGGGGGACTCACACTGGCCGGGGAGTCGTAAAATTAACAGTGGAACAAATTGCAATTGAAAATGCATTGCGGTGTGCGCAGGTGTTTGTTTGTGTGAATGAGAAGGCAGGTGCCAATATCAGAGTTTTCAAGTGTGTTCGGTTAAGAGTTAATCCCCTAAAAGCTTTATTCTCTGGATGCTGGGAAATTACCCGACGATTCGCATGTATTTAATAGTCAGTCAATATCACATTAATTTTAACTAGACACTATATTATTTTTTGATAAAAAGCTTCAGTTTATCTTCATAAAGGTGGTCATATAATTAAAAATCTAGATTGTAAACCGATTTTTAGTTAACTACAGTTCATGATATCGTTTTAAGTTTCTTCTCTTAATTTTTACAAGTACACTGGAATTCATGTCTTTTTAGTAAGAATCTTATCCGAAAACATCCGTTTCCTCCCAAAACTCCAAAATTCTTCAACAACTTTTGGCGGTGGAAAACGGCAACAAATTCTAGGCACTTGTCGGCCCGGAATACTTCCCCAGATTGTTCCCCAACCCCAACAAACCCTATGCACTATCATCATTATCATCTACATAAAAAAAAAACCATACGCTGCGCGCTTGGCTCTAAACAACTTTGCAATGAATGAGTAAACAAAAACAAACGTTGACTTCGCTGCCAGCGCCGCAGTTGCTGTGCTGCTTATTTGCCTTGCACTTTTCATTCCGCTACCGCGGGGATGGGAAATGGGTGGTTTATAGGCAATGCAAGGGAAAACAAAACAACGCGAGTTACAACAACAGCTTGATACTCCCCTTCTGCTGCTGCACCAGCTACAACAACAATAGGAAACACAAACAAGAGAAATTTACACTCGAAAAACTTACTCGTGAAGATAATTTAATACATGAATTATGACTGAATATTAAGCAAATAAAATGGCTACCTACATCCGAAGAATTAACTTCTTATTAAGATTTATAATTGCATTTAATGTACATAGTCAGTAATTTAGGTTACATTTTAGTGCATGTTGCATTATGGTTTTTTTTTGCAGGTGTTGAAGGTTGTGTGGTGCGATTGGTGGGTGGTGGACTGGAGGCAGTGCGTGAGTCGTTTGGTAGCCACAACATTGCGGGACAATAACCGAAACAACAACACAAACAAAAACACAGTCTTCGTCTGCATCTTGTTTTTGTTTTTGCTGTTCACTTGTCTTGAAGAAAATACCGCAGAGCAAAACAATTGCAAAATATGAACAAAAATACATAACAATAAGGGGGGTGGTGGGCGTGGGTGGGTGTTAGGTCCGTTGGTGGGCGTTCTGGAAAAGGGGGCGTGGGCGTCGTTGTTAGTGCCTGCACACGCAAATAATAATGACGCAGAAGCTGAAAAAACAACACGAGACCAAACCAAAACCAAAATACAAGATGAGAAAACCGAGGTAACAAAAAGAAGAACAAAAAAATCGGTAGTTAGGAGTGGTTCAGGAGGGAGGTATGTCCAGTATAAAATCAAACCTCAAAAAAATCATTAAATTGAGAAGACTGCTCAATAACTATTTGTTTAAAAAAATAAACATACATATCTGAAAAAATATAATTAAAAAGGATATAATAAAGGCAAACTTCAAATGTTTTAGAAACTAACAACCTGTAGATAAACACATTATATCTATCAATATTGATTATCCTAAAAGAAATAATAACAAATTAGTGTTAGGAATAATAAAAACTTGCAAGCAAATATTTTTATTACAAACTACTTTTACTAGTTAACTAATTTAAAAACCAGTTATGTACACATATTTTAAAATTTTTTAGTTTGCTCAAAATATTAACCAATTATTTTTTATATTCTGCTACTAATTTGATGGCCATAAATGTGCAAATATGTTATGGAGACCACAAAACCAGAAAACTAAAGGTGACATGACTTGGACAAACAAGTTGCATGCATTTAGCCGAGCCACGCCCCCGATTTCCCCATACCTCATTCCACAACATCAAAACAAAAAACAAAAAAATACTCAGAAAAAGTCCAGGCGCCAAGTTTTATATTCGTTTCCTTGCAAAAATTTCATTTGTTTTCTAGAACAGCAGCAAAAAACGAGCGAAAACAAGCAGAAGAGAAGGCGTGCGGGAACAACAACTCCTGGCATTTTGTTTTGATAAGTCTGACAAACAACAGAGCCAAGTAAAAACAAAAGCTTCCAGCGAATCACGACGGACAAGAAGGGGACACTCGAGGGTGTGGTGTCCACTGGGTAACCACAAAACAAAACGTCACTACAGTAACAGTAAAACAAAACCCCAGACCAGAACTCAGTTTCAAGACCCAAAAGTTGCTAGTTAGTCCGATTCATTAATTGGTTTTAACAGCCATAGCGGCCATACAAATATTCTTTGTTAATCCAAAATTCTATAAAATACCTTACACTGGGGTAATAAAGAATTTTTCGAAATATTTGAAAATATAAGGTCCAACATGTTTTCACAGTTTGTCTTACTTTTGTTTAAAGTGTTTTTTAGCTTTGTACATACTGCAATTCCTACTAAGCACGTAAATACATAAAGGAATGTATGTAAATATGTTTGTTTATTAATTAAATCCATCTTAAGAGTTTGTGGGTTTACTTTAAGCTGTACATCTTTTAGTTCTAGATTTATTTCACATAAAGGTATCATATCGAACCTCTTATAAATGTCATGATACCGTTATGTAAGGGTGTCCAAAATAACAAACGGAGCAAAATGGAATCCACAAAAATCACCGTAGCAAGTGCTGCGCCGACGTCGCAGTCGCCAACACATTTCGCCGTGCAAAACAAACATTTCATCATACAGAGCAAGAGAAACAACAATAATAACAAAACGAAGGAGAAGATGAATAAGAAGAAGAGTGGCGACGAAATGTCAGGGCCCCCAATACGCCCCTCTCCATCCCACTTACTCACACACTTTTCTTGCCTGGCGCGACAACGCAAATAAAATTAACAAAAAAAAAACAACGACAAGCAGACAGACAGTGCGAGAGAGAAGAAGAGACGGCGATTGGGGAAGAGAGCTGGGGCCAATGCCTCACACACAGACCAATGCGCATTTCTAAGAAAAATTTATGCGTAAAATTTTAATTCTGTTTTGATCGTCAACAACAAAAGAGCACAAACAAGCGCGCACACACACACACAAGGCCGCTAGCCAGAGAGGACGTGAGAGAGTGGGGCCAATCTCTCAGGGAAAAAAACCGCAAGTCACTCGCGCACATGTTTTCTTGAGCGCCAAAGAGAGTGGGCGCATTCTCTCCCCGTTCATCCATCAACTCACCTACTCTCATTTCACAGTTAACTCAAAGCCGTTGTTTTGATTGAAGTTAACACTGAAAACTGTTGTGTTTTTATTTGTCTGTATACTTTTTTAATTGATCAGCTTTCCAAAAAAAATACATTAAAATTTGTGAGTAACATGCAGAAAAGTACGTTGCTAAGCTGAAGTCGGAAATTTCCTGCTAATAGATAGGCGGAAAACCTCTTCCTTGATTTTTATTTTGATAAGAGTTCCGAGAAAGTAAAGAAACATAAAAAAATAATAATAATTGGAACCAAATGAATCCCCATTTCAATTTTAAAGTTCTTTCAACCAGAAAACTTACTTTAGAATTTATACAAAAGCGAAAATTGTTTTATTATCAAAGAAATGGGAATGACACTAATTTTTGTACATTTCCATCTGAAAGAAATAATTAGTAGCTAAGCTTAAAATGAATACCACGTGATGGAGAGTATTTCTTTTTACTCTCCCATTTGTGGACTTGGAATAAAAGCTCTTTTAACCTGATAAATTCTTCATCATTTTTTCAAATTGGACTTTGGTTTGTTGCCGATATGATAAGACATGCGCTTTTCTCAATGAAATTAAAAATATTGTAAGAAATTTGTACATACATACATACATATGTACCAAACCAATAATTCTTTAAATGGATGGATTTTTAAATTTTTTTACAAAATAAATAGCATTTATAGGCCAATTAAACACTAGAAAATTCCTGGTAATAAAATCTTGTCCTAATTGAAAGAAACTTACCGCTCCGAAATATTTCAGCTCTTTGGTCTTGATGCGTCGATGCTGCATGGCGGGCTGGGAGCCAGGTACTCCCGGTCCACCGGCTCCACTTGCTGGTGCTCCTCCGTTTCCCGCCGCCACAACCGTACCGCTTTCGTAGGCCGCTGCAGCGATGGCCAGTCCATTCAGCCCATTATGGGCGGCGGCGGCTGCCGACGAGGACACCGGATTGGGCACCAAATTACCACCCGAGACATTGGATACTGCTCCACTGGAACCGCCGCTTAGGCTACCGCCACCGGCCTCCATGAAGTCGAATCGTTTGAAGGCATACCACTTGGACGGATTGGGCTGGATGCCCTGGTATATCTTGACGAACATCTTGTGCTTCTCCCGCCGATATTGGGTTAGCAACACGTTCATTTTCCGCTCCACCTCCGCCTTGCTGCAACCGAAACGCTCGGCTATCTCCGACCAAGCCCGAAATCGGCATAGTTTATCCTTGTACTTGGGATCGGCACGATTCCAGAGTTCCGTGTGACAGCGATATTGTTCGATCAGTTCGAGGGCATCGTCGTTGGTCCACTCCATGATTTTGGGCGAGGTATCGCCACCACCACTTATCACTGGTAAACCACCAGCTCCACCGCCGATCGGCAGCGGGATAAGCTGTTGCTGTTGTTGTTGTTGGGCGGTCGTCGTCTGGCTCAAATACGGATGGTGATGATGCGACGTCTGATGATGTGCGGCTGCTGCTGCGGCGGCTACAACGCTGGCCGGATTGAAGTTCATTTGCCACGCCTCTCCGCCGATTCTCTTGATATATGTACACAGCTTTATAAAGCCGGGCTCTTCTTTTTGAGCTTTGCTTCTTTCGCTTTCGGAAGAAAACTCTCAGGGAATGTCACGCGAAATGCACTCAATCAACATCGTCTTCTTAGGTCCTGTCGACTGGGTCTCATTCTCTTTCATTTAGCACTTTGTATATTACTTTTCATTTACTAAAAAGAGATAAACGAGATAGTATATTGTAGTTATAGTTTTGTCAAAAATATTTAATATCAATTTAAAGACATAAGTGGTACTTTTTAATGGTCACATTTATTATATTTCTTTCAATAATGCAAGCGGACTTTCTTTCCTCACGTAAATGATATTTAATTTAAAATCTGTGAAAACAAGTTTGACTTCAGCATTTATCGTTTTGTTTACGTTATCGCCGGGTTTTTTCCCGCGCGTCAAACATTCCGTCCCTGAGCCGTTTGATAACTATGAATCATTCACACACTCATTCACCTCTCGAAACATTTTTCAGCGAACTGTTTGCGGCCAAATACGTGCTATCGAATCGATCGCCATTGGTCATTAAATTATTATTCCATTTCATTCGAACCGGGTTCTCTGACAAGTTATTTGTCCGCCTAGGTGTTAATCAGTAATGGGAAATTTTCAGGCCAACAACTAAGCATGGCCAAAGCAAACTGGCAAACTTAACAACCAGAAACTTTTTCCAAAAAAAAACCGATCATCATCACCCCACAGAAATAGGCCCCGTGTTCAGCTATAGTTCATAACTCCAGTGGCAGTCGACTTGCTAATTGCTGCTATTTTTATTTGATTTGACATCTAATTGATAAATTTCGAATGACATTTTATGTAAACGGCGGGCGGAAGGCGAAAACTAACGTTTTAACATTTAAAGGAGATTTTCTAATTGGTTGCCATAATAAAAATGGCAAATATTTATTACTTTTAATTGTACAATATTTATATTACATTTTCAGTATAATTTTGTTGTACAATATTGTACATTGTTTAGCAGTATGCTAAAAGTAAACATTTTATGTTTTCTATCCTTTTATCAGAACCAAAACTATTTCAGCGTGCTAATAACATGTTAAACTCTACTTTTTCAAACCTAAAATAAAAAATGTGCACAGATCTAAAAAAAAACCCTCCAGCTTATCGGGGACTTCTCCAAGAGTAGATTAGACGAAGTTTTATCTAATTCACGATGTGACGCAAAATTATGAAATACCCGTAGACGTGACGTAGCTAAATTTATCCGTTAAATGATGCCTAAAATCCGAAAGGAATTTCATAACTGTTTAAAAAATCTCGGTGCAGGGAAAAACCCAAGACACCGATATTGCGTTGTTTTCAACGATCTAGCGATCGCCATTATCTGAACTTGAACTGATCGACATTTGTAATCTCAGAAAACAGTGAAAACAATCGAAACAAGCTTTTCCCATTCAGCAATTTCGCTCTTAAAAATACGCAGAAATTTTTTTATAATCAGTTTACAGACACGTCATCGTCTGCCTAGGTCAGTGGCACTATGTGTAGTATATTCCATGGTATAGTCCACATTATACAGTGGAATAAAGTCCGCAGTGGATGATAAAGCAGATTTTATTTGGCATTAGCATTTTGACGTGCAACTCTAGTTTGCACAGGAAAAAATAATATGGATTGAAGATAATATGGATTCTTGAATGCATGCAAAATAATTTTTATAATTATTGCTTCGTTATAAACCTAATGGGTCATTGAATTTGTTAATGTATAAGGATGAGTGAAAGAAATGTCTTCGATTATAATTATTTTTTACTTGTGTAGTAAACATGTCGCAGTTTCTTCGGGCGGAGAAAATTCTGCCAAGAAAAGCGCGTGAGTGGTAATGCTCTTTTTCCTTCGTAATCGTGTGTGTGTATGTATGTGTAAATGTCACAAGTCAACAGAAACAGAAGCAACAACAAACGATAACAAAGATGGCAAGGCAACTGCTCGCGCCTCGTCATTCACAATAGACGGAAGTGTAGTTCGCACACACACAATCTACACCCAGGGACACGTGCGCTTTCACTCGCACCCACACTTACACATGGGGTTTATGCTATACGGCATCTCGCTTTTACATCAATCTTTGTCGAACGTAGATTTTCGCTTCCTGGTTTTGGCGACGAGCGCAATTTGCTTTACGTTTTAGCACTTGTCGTACGTATTTACGAAGCACAAAAGCGGTCAATATATTAGCACTGGATTAAAAAAAAACTAGCTGCCAGGAAAATCCTTTATAATTCTAGAAAGATGTTTTGGGCAATATTTTGTAATGCTTTATAAGTTGTGGTGTTAACATATTACATGATCAGTTACAATTTTCAGATTCAAATTAACTAAAAGCTGTATATCTTCAAGATACGTATTAGCGATTCCCCCCTTTGATTAACAACCTAAAAAACTACCTATGTAATCATTTTTTTCGGCTTATGTAGATCTCTTTTTATGTAAGTCCGACTACACGTACACAAATACAGCACACTTAAATTAATAAAATAAATTGTTTAGTAATCAGTTTTTCTTTCTCGACAAAAAGTTCGAGAAATGTTTCTTTTTGCGCAGATTATAACGCTGCGCAAACAGCTGGATGATTCATAACGGTAAACTCACAAACACTGCGCACACGCACACAACAGACTTTAGAAAGGGATAGGGAGATAAAGCCTTAATTTGTTTTTAGTTTGCGTGTGGTTTTTATTGTTGGTGCTTTATTTGTCTGCGTTTTTTTTGTGTTTAGTTGTTTGCTTATGTTGTTTGCGCCACACTCTGCGTCAATTTTTAGACGCGACACATTTTGGTCTATATTTAGAACTTGTTTTTTACGCGACGTTGCTTTTTTTTACGCACTTTTTCGCTCTTCACTTGTTTTTGCGCAATTTTCCAATTAATTTTCGTTATTGCTTCGAAATTGGAAAATTTGAAAATGTGTTTTAGCTGGTATGTTTCAGTATTTTGTTTGCAATTCGTTTGCGTCCTCGTTTTATATTTAAGTAGCACAGTTTTGAGGGATTTTCTGAGAATTCTGCGGTGAACTCGGCCTTTTATTTGTTGTTTCTTATTGCGTTTATAGACTTTGGGTTTTTTTAATTTATTTAATTTGCATGTCTCTCGGAGCTCTGATTTGTTATTTGCTCACTGAGAAAATGCGCAACTGTGTGGGGATTTTATCAGGAATTTCTAAATGTCACCGTTTTTATTGTCTTGTTATGTGAATCATGACGGAAATGCTTAGGATTTGTGCTTATATATTGAGAGTTTACTTTTGAATTGTGTATTCTGTAATTTCTCTAGTTTAGATTTTGGATTTAGGTTTAGATATTTAAACTATATATTTTAGTTAGGGGTGCATTAGTTTCACAATTTGCTTTATTCCCTGCCTTATTTGACAGATTTCTTAAGGCAGTTAGCGACCATTTTGAATTCGTTTAAAAACGCTGCGAATATAAAAAGGTCTGAATCAGAAAACGTTGAATTTGCATAAAATCCATGTTATCCACAATTTAGTTTGTTTTCGCCTTTTGTCATTTTAAATAAAAAAGAAGAGAGGGAGAAACACAACAGGCCAAAAACAAATTAAACAACGCAAAAAGTAAACAACATCCAAAGCGAAATTGAGCACAGAAACTTAAAAATACATTTCAAGGCGCGCGGAATGAAATAAAAAACATTTTACAATCACTCCCGCAGACACGAACGCACATGTTTTATGGTATTTAAACAAATTTGAAAAACACTTTTTGGAAAATATTTGGTTTCTTGTTGAAATATTTCCTTATCAAGCCCATATTTGCTTTCTATGCTTTACAAGGTTTTCGAGAGTGTTTCAGAGTATTTATTTGTTTTGTTGTTTTAAGATATTTTTTTGGCTTTGAGAAGGTTGCAAGGGGCTTCGATTTTATTTCGCGCAAAACTTTTCCACTGTCTTAGGAATAAAACATTTTAAAGTCTCTTCACCTTTTTTTCAACGTAGATTTAGTTGTTTAAAATATTTGTGCACACTTTTGAAAACTTTTTTAAAGTTGTATCACAGTGATGTTGTTATTGAATCATGAAACTGAAGAGTTAATTTCAAAAATATTTCAAAAATATATTTTCCGGCCGTAGCTTTTCTGCTATTTGTTTAGCAAACAACACGGATGAGAGAAACAAAAGGAGGCTGCAAAACCAAACATTCCACACACAAACAGAGAACCACACGCACTGGCGATATTTACCGCTATTTCGGAGGCGCTGTTGCGCTTTTACTGCTCCGTATTTTCCCGTTACGCGCGTATAATCCACCCGCTATACCGAACTATATCTTTCCCGTTACAACCGCTCGCGAGCGACCTCTGTTGGCGTCTGTTTCGGCAAACAGTCGCAAACCTATTGGCATCGATTTGTAAAAGCACCGACTGCGACGCCGGCAGAGGAATTGAAATGAGCACAGGCGGCAGCGGCAGAGTAAACAGTTGTTTCGTGGAAAAACAAAACGAACATCGTAATGAAGTTCTCTTTTGGCCTGTTGTGAAATTCTACGGTGCTTTGTCATGCTTAAAGCAACAACAAAGCCATGCAGGGGGGGTGGTTGAGGCGGGAGAGAGAGAGCCTTACGAAGACACGGAGAGAGTAAGTGAGATTCAGAGAGAGCAGTGCGCGCCAAAAAAAACACAAGCAGACGCACAGTGACGGTCACAATGAAAAAAACACTAATACTAAGAGACTGCTTAATTATAAAAAGGAAAAGATGTTGTTGTCTTAATTTAATACAATTTCATGCAATTGCAAAATCATTTTTTTTTATTTTTGAAAAAATATGCGCCCAATTTTTTATTTGGAATTTTCGATGGTCTCGTTATTAGTGTGCATTTAAGCAAGTCCAGTAAGCTAGTAGTGCGTCCACCGCTGTTTTAAGGCTGACTGAGACGCGACGTCGGTGTCGGCCGCGCAGTTGTTTTGATAAAGCGAAAAAGAAACACGGCAGCAACAACAAAAGGGGGATGACTGGTTGAGGGGGAAGGCGACCGCTTCTTGGGCCGCACACACACAACGACACACGCGCAGCCGAGTCAAACAAACAAATAAAATGTGAAGCAGAAATGGCAAAAAATTAAACAAACAAGTAGTCAGGAGCGGTTCAGCAAAAGAAACGAGTTGAACGAACCGAGGTCAACACAATAAGTAAAAATGCAACAATAAAAAACCGTAATCACAAAACGCTTCGCGCCAAAATGAAATGAAATTTTTACTACGTCGTAGTAAAATTCCTAAGAAAAAAACAAAAGAAAGTTCATTGAAAGTGGTCAAATTTGACAAAGATTATTGTGTTTTCCATTACTGAACTGTCATGCTTTGCCACACGCTTTCGCTATGGTTTTATAAGAATAGTAAAGATAGTAAAGATTTATTTGACTTATTGGTTTTATAAGATTCTTAAATGCTATACATATGTACATACATACATACATAAATACGTTAATGTATGCATAACAAAATGCTATATTTTATAGAACCGGTGTACGTATGTACATTCATATGTATGTAACTTTTTTTAAAATTTAAAATAAATGCTAAAGCTGGTTTTCTCTTTTTTTCTCACTTAATGATAAGTTAAAAATATTTCCTTCTTTTCTATTTCACTGCTTTTCTTGTGCTTCTGTTTCGGTTTCTATTTATTTTTGTTTAGTTTTGTTTGCTCGTTAGCTGTGTGGGCGGTACAGTACAGGCAGGTGCTCTGCCACCCTCTCTCCGTATCATTGTTTCTTTCTCACTCTCTCTCTCTCTCTTGTTTGTTTGTTTTTCGTGGCATGTTTTTGTGTTGTTTTTGTGCTTGGTGCGTAGTTTTTACGTTCGTCATCGTTCGCTTGGTATTTCCGTCTTCTGCCGACGTCGCTGCCCACGCTCAGTCGCTGCACTGCCTAAATGGTTTGCCTTGAGTTGTAGTTGAACTATGTATTTGTTTTTCTGCAAACGAATTGCACTTGTGCACCAGAAAAAAATTTTTATAACCTACATAATAATGAAAATACATAAATATGTATAATAATGAAACAAAGGTCATAATAAATGTTCTTAACAAAATAAGTACGTATGTATTCTTAAGGGAGAAATATTGTAAGGTGCAATGGAATGTGTTTCTCTTTTATCTTCCACAGCAGGTTATTTATGTACGTCTATATCGTGTATTTATACAATTAAATGTAAATACATACATATTTACAATATTTTGTTTTAGGACTTTTTAATGTTTTTATTTTTTTCTCGGCCGCTGCAAAGTGCATTGCGTTTTTGGTAGCTGCGTGGGAGGTGTATTTATGCTTCTGTTTTTGTTGCTATTGCTTTCTCTCGTGCGCAAGCTCTCAGTTCACGTGCTGTGCTCTCTCCTGCTGCTCGGCACCTTTCCTCTCTTCCGCTTGGGTTTCAGTGAGCTATTGTCTTGGCCTTTCTTATGCGCGTTCTATATTAGTTGTGTGTTCTTGGCAAATTTCTTTCCCCCGTTACGTTTCGACAAATACTGTACAATGCTCAAATTAACGTTTAAAATGAAAAAACGAAACTGATTTAAATTAAACAAAATCAACAAATTATAGGAAGGCGTAAGTTTAAAAACCCGTAATTAACTTATAGATATTTCATATGTACTTTTAAGTTTTTTAAGCTTAACGATTATTTGTTATGTTATAAAATTCTACCTCTATTCCAGAATTCGTTAATTTAAAGTGTGTTAGCATTTAATCTCCTTGTTATATTATAAGCACAACAAAAACATATAGCAAGTTATTATTAGTAGTGAACAATTTAATCAATGTGTCCCACTGTGAAGGCCGCATGAGAAATGCTAATTAGTACAAATTCGTTTGTCACAATTTGACAGAGAGCGAGACTCTCTTCTTTTTGCAAGTAATCAAATAAGAAAGTTCGGCAGGGCGTAGGTGGGGGTGGGGGTAGTTTGGTCTGAGGGTAGGAGGTGGAATGTGGAAAGGTGGGGTTGCTCTGTCTCTGATTCTGTCGGCGTCGACGGCGACGCAGCAAACAAACACTTGTTTGCATAGCAGAACCAGAGAGCGAAGCCAAATAACTTTCATATAGAGAGACTGAAAAAGTGAGAAACTGAGAGAGAGCAGGCGCACAGGCAAGGCTTTTAGTTGTAAACTGTAAAAAGGATATTTCTTAATGTAAATGTTGTACTGCTTGGATTTCTAAATTTTAACTTCATTTTTGTGCAGTTTTGCTTACATAACACTATTGCTTATCATCACTAGTTAAAAGTGATAAGTGCAATTCTTCCATCCTTTAATATCACTTGTTTATTCCTTATTATCTTTTACTTTACTTTTATCTTTATCTTTTAGTGTATTTACGTACAATGTTTGCGTGCGAATTTACAACTAGGAAGCAATTTTTCTTGTTTACAATGTTTGTACGTGGGTGGAGGAAGCGAATAAAGAAGGAGAGCAGCGGTATTATGTCCCTGACTACCAGAAATTAAGACATGTTGTTTTTTGACCTCTCTCCGCCGCCAAAAGCCGTCTCTGCCGACTGCGACAGCAGCGCGACTGAAGGTCATTATCCATTTTGAATTTCTAAGTTTCTTTGGCTTTGTTATTATTACATATTTGACGCTATCCTTCAGGACTTTTTCAGAAGAATCTTTTCTTAAGAAGTCTGATATTTCATTTAAAAATTTAGTGTCATTGGGAACAGCATTATCTAATGTACCAATAAATGTATGCATGAATTTTTATATGTATTTTTAAGTTTTATGATTAAATAAAAAAAGCAGTACAGATCCTTATCAAAAGATATGGGTATATATTGATCTAATTGTATGGACTATAAATCCTGGCTTGGATTTCGGGCAGTCGATTTTTTTTTGTTGGACTTCGGCTTTGGAATTGTGTAAACAGCGGCGACTGCGACGTCGGCAGAGAAACAACAACAAAGGCAACGCAGCCATAAGAGTAAACAAAAGTTTTTTTTCTGTTTTTCGCATTTTGCAGAGACAATGCAAGAAAGTTGGGGTTGAGAAGAATGGTAAAAGAGGTTGGCGGCTGCAAAGGCGAAGAAGAAGTTCCGGGGGGTTGGGGGAGAAGGAGGTGGGATAAGGACGGAAACGGACAGAAAGACAGAAAGCAATGTTAATGAAGATGAGCCTGATGAGTTTTGTTGCTCTTGTTGTTTTGTTTTTGGCTGGCTTTTGTTGTCGAGCTTCCACTGCAAAAAATATGCAAAGCAGCAACAACAATAACTAAAACAACAGAACAAGAACAGCAAAAACTGGCAACAGAAACAAATGTGTAAATATACAAGGGTAAAAAATTAAAGTTTCAAGAGGAAGTATACTCTTATAAAAACATGAAAACTTAAGAAATAATATTAATGAATATTGTTTTTCCCATTTTTTTAACGTTAAAAAGTTAGTAAACATAATTCGACCGGGCTTTTTAGGTTATTATTTATTATTTGAAAGAATAACTGTATAAGAAAATATAATGATAATTACTTTATAATGAAAATTATTTTATTAGTCATAAATTACTCATTTGAGTGCTATTGTTTTGATCACAGCTGTCTGTCCATAAATACGTTTGAATGCAAGGCAGCGAAATACGCAAATAGAAGCAATGAACTTAATTAGTTGTTGTTACTTACTATCTCAGTCATTGTCACGAAAGAAAAGCTAAAGTTTGAAAGGGAGCTGGTGAAAATAATTCAAGGTGTTAACTGTACAGGTGTTAAAAAAATATAAAACATTTTCAGAATCAATAAAAAACCTTACAGTTCTTTAGTTTTTCTTTGCTCAAAGTCAAGAAATATATTTTCAGAAAACAAATAATTAAATCGGTATTTGAATAAAAAAAACTACATTTCTGACCAAAAACTTCAGGTAATCTCTCTTGGCTTGTTTTGACTTCTTTTGCCACCCGCTAGTAAACAAATTGCCAACCTTGGCAAAACTTCAAGCGGAAGTAAACAAATTTTTCTTTAGTTTTTCATTGCTCCCGGTTTTCTTGTTATTCTCATTTTTCCAATACTCTTGATAATTTTGCTCTGTGGTATGCAACACTTAGTTGCAGGTTGCTAACTGACTGGAACACAACTGTACACCATCGGAATATAATTATGATGAAATGTTTATTCTGCAAACGGTGCTACCGAAAATGTTGTGCGGGTGGTATATTTTTTGGTAGTTTTTGTATTTTCGCTTGAAATGTTTTTGCCGTGTTGACATTGTTTTGCTGAACGGAAAAAATACGCTTGTCGCATTTATTTACTAACCCAGACCCAGCTGGTTGTTGTTGCAATTGTTTACTCCCGTTCTTGTGCTTATTTCTGTGTTGTATTTTTTATTCGGCTAGCAACAATAACAAGAAGCAACGCGAGAAATTACAACAATAACAGAGTCACAGAACTCCGGCTGCAATTGAAAACACTAAAAACAAAAACGTTAACCCATTTTGTAAGAATTTGTTGACTGGATGCGAAATTCTTTTGTAATTTCATACTTTTGGTTTTAATAACATTACCAATTAATGTTTTGTGCTGAATAAGTGATGATAGTCAATGCATATTTATGGATCATTCCTTAAGTTGGAGATTTGCTTCAAATACGTAGAACTCTAAGGTCAAAAGAATCTTAAATATTTAAGAATTTATTTGTCACCTGATAGTTGCTGTGCATTGGCTTCTTTTTGGTTATGTATCTCGCTTTCGTTGATTTTTCGTGTGCATTCAGCAAAAATTGTTCCTTGCTCTATTTGGTTGTTTTGTTTTGCTACGTTGTTTTTTATGTGCACGTTGTTTTTTGCGCTTTTACTGCTGTAAATTTGCAAAAGTACAGCTGTTAACAATAACAATGACATATAAACACTCCCGCAACGGCAACAAAAATGCCAACGCAGGTATGCCAGAAACAAAACTAAAAAAAATCAAAAAAAAAAAAGGAAGCACTGAAAAAGTCAAGCAGAAATCAAACAACAAGCGAATGCAAAAAATTAATTAATTAAGCATTTTTTTGTGTGGGCCATCCGACGTCGGCAACACGTGAGTTTTTTGTGGGTGGTCGGGTGTAAAATGTATCTGCTGCTTATGTTGTAGCCTTAGTTCTTGGCTTTTGTCGTCGCTTTTATTTTATTTTTGTGGTTGTTGTCATAGTTGTTGCTCATCTGGAATATGTCGAATATTTCGCTGCACTTTTTCATGGCTGTCGTCGCGCTGAAATGCCTTGAAATGTAATTGAAAAGTGCGCAAAACAAAGCTAAAATTGGCAGTATGTGTACATAGTACTAGTTAGTAATTGGCAAATTCCAGTGACAAATGGTTTGGGTTCTATTTCTTTTTGACAATAAATATTTTTTTTATTTATTTAAATATTTCACCAAATAGTTACGAATGGGAAAGTTTTATTTCATAAATAACTAATAATATAGTTTGTATATTACACAAAAAATGTATATCTGTTTTATTACCATTATATAGACTTCAGTGAAAAAGCAAGATAGCCCGGGAAAACAAAAAGAGGTGAGGGCAAGTGGTCCTTGGGGGCGTTGTGGGGTTAAAAGCAAACGTAGTCAGCACAGCAAGGCCAACAACCAGAGAACGAAACAAAACGAGCGAACAACTGAATGAAATACAATAAAATTTTAAAACAAACAAATGCAAACACATAGACAGGGGCAAACACACAAACACAACAAGGAGCCAATGCGAATGCGACTAATGAGCACTGAAACAACAACAAAGAAGCTCAACAAGAAAGAACAGTCGAGGGGCGGCGGACTAGGGGCCGACAATTTGGTCGTCTATCCTTCTTTTTGCGCCGCCTGAAATAAACAAATAACACTAAAACCAAGTAAGATACGGATAATCCCATTTTTCGAATTTCAAATACCTCGGATTTACAATTATCAAGAATTAAAAAAGGATTAAAAAATGATACATACATTTTACATAGATAATAAAAAAACATAAATAATAAAATAACTAATCAGTTTTTAATTTTCATTCTTATTTGTATTATTCCTATTTTACGGAATTATTCTGTCAAAAACACTATACAAATTGTTTGGTAAATCCGATTATACCCAAAGAATGTGTTTAACTACTGGGTAAAAATACAACAACAGCGACAAGGACAAGAAACCGTTGTATAGTAAAATGCTTATTTACGCATACAATTGCACGTGAACGGTCGACAGCTGGAAGAGGAAGAGGGAAGGCTGTGGCGAGTGCAAGTGAGATAGCGATAGCTCCCAAGGGGTAGAGGGTGGGGTTTAAATAGGAAGTTTTGTTTGCAGTGCGCACAGCAACGGAGAGACAAACACAACTGTAACTGTAATTGTGTGTTTGTTTGCTCGAAACTTCCCCCCACTTCGTCAGCCATTCGTCCCCCTGAACAGTAACCACTTTACTGCCCAACCACCCACAGCTGTCTGGCTTCTGCTTTCCTCATACTTTTGGCCAAATAAAAAGTTTGTTGAGAACATTGGCAAATGTTTGTTTTAGAAAACGGAAAATGCTTCGTTTGTTTCATCATTATCATCAGGGAAATTATCGTGATCATCATCATGTTTTGTATTTGTCTTCGCTCTTTTTTTGGCTTTCTCTTGGCTTCTTTCGCTCCTTCCTCTACTTTCACTCTCCTTTTTGTTTTACAGTTAATACCCTTCAATTTGTTAAAAAACATTTAAAATACATATAGTCAAAATTCTAAAATTTCTTGTATCATTAAAAATAATTTATGGATAGAATTTGTTTTTAAATATGTAACCTTATCCTGTCTAAACTAGGGAATAAATATTTTAATATTCAAATAAGAAAGGGCATTTAAATACTTACAATATTGTGTTTTTGGATCCGCTTGTTTGGCTCCTTGTTTGTTCATCGTCATCGTATATTTCTATTCGTCGTCTGCTACTTTTGCGTAGTTTTGTTTATTTTATTTGTTTTGCTTTGTTTTATTTTTGTTTGATTTACGTTTGGCTGAACAATTTACACTGGAAGAAACGTATGGAACTTTTGCTAATTTGGGAATGATTTATTTCCCATTTTTAAATACGCTATAGCCAGCGAAAACAACAATAGGTTTTTACAGCTTGGGGATTTCGATATTTTTGATATTTCTTTTACAATATAAATTTTTAAATCTTTTTCTGAGTATTTTGTGGGGTTTCTTTAACAGTTAGAGTCACTCGCCCTTTTTTGCAAAGCGCCCACCTCAAATTGTTGGCTTGTCGCAGTGTTTTGTTTTTCTTGTGCTTCTTCTTCTATTTTTAGGGGGCGGAGAAAAGTGCCGAGTTTTTGTTCTATTTAATTTTGTTTTATTTTTTTCGTCCTGTTTTGTTGTATTTTGTGTAGGTGTATTGACTTAAAGTTTGTTATACTTCTTTGGCTTTTGTCTTTCAGTTCCAGGTTCAATTTCTGCTTTTTATTTACGCTTCTTATTCTTCTTCTTTATTTTTTGCTTCTGGAAATATTGTTGTTGGCCTTGTTGGTTGAAGGAAACGCCTTCGAAACATTTCAGTGTTTGTCCTTCGGGTGGTACGGAGTGAAGAGTTTTACCAAGTTTGTTTTGGGCGGTTTCCATTCTTATATTATTTTTATCGGTTTTTTCTTTTGCGTTTGAGGTTTGTTAAGGGCATAGTTTGACCATCTACATATTTGAAAACCTAAAATGTTCATAAAGTATTTGACAAGCTTTGTTTATTTTATTTAGGAAATACACATACCTAAAACCCTTGACTGTTATGCATTTTACTTCAAAAATGTATTAGCTACATATCTAAAAATTTCTCACATTCAAATATGAGTGTTTCTAAATCTTAAGTATTTTAAAATTACACGTCGTTTTCTGGCATCGATAAGATGAACAAACAAACCAAAGAATGGTCTCGCGCTGTGCTTTTCAAGCCAAAGGACAATCTTACGACCGAGGCTGGAAAACGTGAACGCTTCGTCCCATCCTGCGAACTAGAGGTAATAATATATTTTATGCTTGACGGAAATACTATAATTAAAAAACCTAGTGCAAGCGTCATTCAAAATTTAAAGGTCACAGTGTTTTTCTGATCTGTTAATTTTGAAGTGCTGCCCACTTAAGTAGGCAACAAATTTGGCACCACTTCTTCAGGAGCCAAATATACATACATATGTTACTAGCCGTAAATAAAAATAATATAATAATTGTCTTTATTTTCGGGATTTTTACAGGGCTCGCCGGTATCCATGCCGCTCTTGATTGGCTGGGAGTATGCTCGAATTTGGCTGAAAGAACGCGACAAATTTATTAAGCAGCGGGAACGCGCTGTCAAAGCAAAGTTCATTAAGAATGATTTTGAATGGTGGCTAAAACTGCGGAAAACACAAAAAAAGTTTTGTAAAGCTGGCGCATGAAACTAAAATATAATTCAGGTTATTTTGGCAAGCACGCAAAGTAAACTATCCAATAAAGGTATTAACCTAGCAAAATAAATATTTATTATTAACATTTTGATTGCTTATCAATAATTTAATTAATTAATTTTTTGTTTTCTTTATTGCCGAAGTGGTTAACGTTATCGCAGATTTTGACATTTCCTTGCTTTACATTTTTGGAGTTTCTCCAATTGGCGGCGCCACTTTCTAAAAGCTTTTAAATATTTTTTGAGCCTTGACAAAAGCTGAAAGCTAAGAGCCTCACATCTTTGTTAAAAAGTTGAAGTTAAGAAATTTAAATCATTTGGCTTAATGTAAAAGGCTTATTGTTTTTCATTGTTCATGCATTGTGCGTTATCAAAAACATGTAACATATAACGTATATGACCGACGTCCTTTTATGACTTATTTACGGAATATGCTTAAATCTAGGAAGGTTTTGTTTTTTTAAAGATAAATAAAGACATTTACTTATTCGTAAATATTTTTTCAACAGCTGTTTGGGTTTCCCTCTCGAAAAGTTTTCGCTTGAGCATTTTGTAGCGTCGTTTTCATACAGGTTGCCGAGCCGGAAAAGCGCTCAATACTGTTACCAACTCGCTTTCCAACGCTCTCTCCCTCTCTTACTGGGTTTTAAGTCGACTATTATAGTGGGGTAGCTCCTACCATGCCGCCCACGCAAGTTGCGAACCCGAATCCGAACGGGTTACGCGAAACTGCAATTTACTCTTATACACAACTAATAAAAACGACTGAAAGTTTTAAGGAATGTTCGATATAATTTTATTTTATCATTCTAGCACAAAAAGGAAGTTAACCAAACAAAAAGTTTTTTACGCGGGTTTTAATTGGTTTTGCCAAAAATTTAAGTTAATTGCCGTAAATTTTTAGTATTAAATGTTATAATTTTTTTTTAAATTTTTTTTTCCGGTCACACTGAAAGCAAAGGGCCAGGTTTGTTTATCATAATCATTCGATTCGGCCAGTGTGTGATAATTATTTTGTTGGCTTTACTCTCTTACGCCCCCAAAAGCTCTGCGCCCACGCTCTTGAGCAGTTTTACCAGTGCACTCACTCAAAGCGAAATGCTTTTAACCGCCAGGAGAATCTATATAGGATGGCTTCTCCGACTCGGTTCGAATATGTTTTTCGCAGCGCGCGCGTTCGCATCGGAAAATCTGAAAAGCTGAAAAGCATTTAAAAACAAAAATTCGGCAAGTACAATTGTTTTTTTTTTCCCCCAAACGGCTATTTCGTCGCAGGTTATTAGCTTGCAAAAATCGTCGCAATCAACCGCCGTAATTATATTCGTTATTTCGTTATTCGATAAAAAATACTGGTTACGCATTTGGTGGAAAACCAAAACAAAAAATTAAATTTTAGCTAATTTTTGTGTTTTATTCGCGCGTGTGTTTTTGTGTGAGTGAGTGCAGAAAAAAAAAACAAAACTGAATAGCAAAAAAAGAAAATAAATAGAAAACAAAAGCAAAATCAAAAGCAAAATAACTGCAAAGTAAGTGTGTGTGTGTGTTAGCATATGTTGCACTGTTTTGCATAGAAATGTAAGTATGTTTTATGTTTTTTAATAATAGAAAAGTTAGAAATGACTTTTTGGCTGTTATGATGGTTTTTGGAGACGTGTTTTCCATTGAGGAATATGAAAAAATGCGTACAATATGTTGGCATGCACACACACATACAGCGGCTAACTGTTGGCTGCGTAGATGTGAGTGAATTGGCAACACCGCGCGCGTGTATAAGTGCTCGTTTGTTTTTGTTGCTTTTGCGGCCAAGTGGCAGCAAAACGTTGCAAGCAACAATAACAATGATGGCAAAACAAGTGCAGTCAGCAAAACCAACTCAACCAGTGCCTCTCACGCTCTCACTCTCTAGTGTTTCTCTCCCGCTTACAGAGTTCCTCCTTCTTCTTCGCACCTATTGACGCAACTGCATGGTCAGGGCTTCTTTTACTGTTATTGCGTTTATGCGTTTGCAAAATAAGTTTCCGGAAAGTATAATTTATGAACTAAACAAAAATCAGTTACTCTTAAATCCTCATTTTTTGTCATAAACCAAACTAAATTACAAAACGTAAACAATCGATTGAACCGTTTTGTAAACAAACACATTTTAGAAGTTAATGTTGTAAAGTTGTTAATAAAATGAAAAATTAACCCCAAATAAATAAATACATTTTTTGTAAGTGACGGTCAATCCAAATGGAATTTTATTTTTTGATTTGCGCAAATGCAAGAATTCGGCAATTTTGCGGCATAGACTAAACAATTTACTGTCTATGGATCGTCTTTGGATTTTGGCTTCGCGTTTTTTTCTCTCCGAAATTCGCTGCTCTCTTCGTGCCAAACAAAGCTCAGCCAACACTTGTCGCGCCTTTTGAGCGCCTCACTTCCCACCTCCCACCTAAACCACTCTCTGCTTTTCCGCCTTATTCTCCGGCTATCTGCTGCACGTCTGCGTCCTTATATATTTTACAATGTTTGCTCTGGTGTACTGTAAAAATCCTAAAGCTGCTACCACAAAATTAAAAATTATTAATTATTATATTATTAAAAAAAATATATATAAAATATATACATATGTATCTATGTTTTACAGATGTATGTGTGTACATGTTTTACGAAAACAGTAATTGAGGTTTACATTGCAACCAAAACTAACTGGAAAGAAGGAAAGATTTTCCCAACATCTTCTGGGTAAAAACCCATGGAATTTTTCGCAATGTATAATCTCTCTTGGCTTTCCACCTCGAGGCGTTTTCCGCTCTAAGCTTTGGCGAGTTTCGTTCGATTTCCATTTGCTTTTAATTGCATTTATGCATTTTTAATCGAGTTTGACTTTGGTAAGCTTTTTACTTTGGTGTCTCTTGAAGGGGGGTTGGGTTGGGTAAAAGGGCTCTCGCAGATCCACGAAATAAGTTTCAGTTTCAAACGTTTCGGTAGCGAGATGTTTGGACAAAGTTTTCTAATTGGCCTTGACGCCGTTTTTAGTATTTGAAGAGCCAAAGAGTGCAAATTTTTCTGCGTCTTAAGTAAGATAATTTATTTGCATTTATAATTTTGTTCATTAAAGTTAATTCAATTAAGGACTGGTGATAATGGTTGAAGGGCTATAAAACAGTTTTAAGTATAAAAATGTATGTTTTGTTTAAGATAAATTATAAAAAATCTTTGGATAAATTTTAAAATACAAACAATTTAAATCCAAAACACATAAAACACAAAATTAAAATTTTTACTTTTTACCAATCGAATAAGTCTTGAATTGTAGCTTCCACACAGTTTTTGCCAACAATTTTCCAATTTAACCAAACAGCTGTTGCATCCTAAGCAAATATGTCTCTGTCCAAGTTAGTCCTTTTAAAAGCTCAATCAAAGTCGCTGTGCCACATACACTCACTCCACTGTGCCTCTTCCAACTTTTTCAGGCCACCCTCGCAAAGTTTGCAACTTAACATATGTTTATCTGCTAATCATGGAAATGCGAACGGCGTTGCAAAATATTTAACTAGAAAACCTCGGGTAAAAAGAGGAAAATAAGCGAAACAGCTTTTCCATCGAAAAAAACCCCACTTACCCATTTCCCTGTACGCCGACCATATGCCAAAAAGCTAAACCAAAAATCGCACACACATTTAGGGATACAACGAAATACGGACAAAAAATAAGCAGGCTGCTTTGACATTTCGTTGTCTGGCCACTCGCTCAACTCGAGCAAGGATATCCATAAGGGATATTGCAACATTAGGGTGGGTCATTTTGTTTTAAACTTAAAATTATTATATAATTTATTTCCCATAACTAAAACAAAAATTACGAAAATAAAAAAAAATATTTCTGGCATTAAGATATAACCTGAGTTTGAACTTTCAGCTTAAACTTAGCTTAGATTGACACACCGTGATGACAGCCTACATATATTCAGGCACACATTTTGCACATCCACACATTGGCACACACAAGTAATTCGCTGTGCTATGTATGCCAGTATGCCGAAAAAAGGGCAAGACATAACTTCACTCGCTTTTGTCGCTGCCCACGCATCAAGGGACCAAAACCAACCAACCGCCCACTATATTCGCCACCCAGCCACCCACTAAAACCACCCACTGACGACCTCACCCACTCAACCACCTTAACATTTACCTTGTTGGCCCGAAGTTGTCTTTCAAACATTTGTTGCACTCTTCGTGTAGAATTTGTTTCTCACCATGCTGGTTATTCACCAGGCTTTTCACGGTTTCTCTCTCTCTAATTTTGCCTCTCTCCGCCTTTCTCTTTCTCTGTTTACTTTCGACCCTCTCTCTCTCTCTTTGAGGTAAATGAAGCCGGTCAGACGTCATCGCAAAGGTCAATAGAAAACAGCGAGGAAAATTAGGCTTAAGAAAATATATAATATTATACTTTCGCTTACAAGTAATTATTTATTGAAAATGTTAAAAATGTATTAAAATTCTATTAAATCTAAGAACGGCATTTTAAAACTTGCAATTTGGAAACTTTTTTAAAAAAGCTTATTTACATTTCTCAATATTTTCAAAATTTTCCAACAGAATTGTTGTTAGAATAATAATACATTAATAAAATTTTGGTATTTTATATTAATACTTTTGTATTTGGTCACACTTTTTGTGAGTGTATCAAAGCTTTTTAGAAAATCATGGGGGACTGGTACTGTGGCTTTGCGAAAAGAAACGCCTTTAGGGGTGGTGGTGCAGAATGCGTGGGGCGTCTGTGTTGGGTGTCCAACCATATGGTCAATGCACAGAGCAAATTGCCACTTCGCGGAGGCGACGCTTCATTTGGTTTTCAAATTGAATAGGAAGCGTCGCGACATTGTCGGGCGACTTATGCCCCTCCCCCAACATTCCCGAATATGTATTCATCATCTCCCTTGCATTTGGGAGGACGAATCCTCCACTAATTGAGACATTTGTCAACTTGCGCAAATGGGCAATCATTTCTCAAAGGCAAACTCCTATTGAGCAAGGGAAAAAGGGGACAGAACGCGTATTCCCGATTAAAACAAGGTAATTTTACCAATTAACATGAATCATTAAAAAGTCGCAAATTAATTACTGAATAGGAAAGAAGATTGGGGGTCTTTTAAATTGTATGCTCTTTTATATTACGGCCAAATATTTGTAAAACAGAACAGACAATTTTTTCACGATGATTACAATATGTTAAGTATCACTGTTCTGTGATCTTGGCTACTTGAAACGCTTTGACTTGGTAAGCATAGATGGAGTCTGTTTTACGTTGACAGATGAACACGGAGCGTCCTGCCCTCGACTTTCCTCGATTGATTTCAGATTTCTAAGCGGTTCCAGAGATTTGACCGTCTTTTTTGCGGTTGCTTGCTCCACGACCGAAACCAATGGGCTCTTCTGAGTCGGCTTCTTTTTGTTTTTTGCTGTCTTAGGTTTATCTGCAATGTCTTCTCTATCCAGGGCATGCATTTCTGTCACCATGGTGTCGAATGTCATGGGTACCAGAAAATACCGGCCTTTAAAATACATAATTTCTCAATCAAAGCATAAAAAGGTAACTAATTTGCTTACCGTCTAGTTTCTGCAAAAATCCCAAACGCTGACCCATCTCGAGGGTTTGCTTCACAGGCGCTTTAAGCTCTTCCTGGGGCAATTCTGTATTTTTAGCTATTGTCACCACTATTTCCCTCAGTGTAGCTGGAGATTTTAGCAACTGAAGAGTGTGCACTATAATAGCCCCGTTAAAGTTTGGCATGTTGTCCTTTTGTTAATGATTACTGTGTGTGCTATCACTAAAAATGATTCTGAAACTGCGAGCCACGATCAAAAATCAAAAACAAACTGGACAAGTAAAGGTTAGACAGAATTGACAATCGAATTCTCCGCCTGCTTTACAGAAAATAAAGTTTTTTAAAAGTATTTGAATGAAATTTTGTTTGTGTTTAGTTTGCTGCAGCAAAACATTTTGAATGAAAACAATAGGTTGGAATTATAGTTTGAAATGCCTTCGCCAAGCTTATATTGTCATCCAGTTGGTAGCAAGATGTGAGTCGATAGGTCGACGTCAAGCGTTTATCTATCATTCCAACAGAGGCTGACCAATACATGGAAAGTTTAGCAATATCTATCGCTAATCCACGGCCCATAACAACAGGAGTGGAGAAAGAATTAAGCAAACGTTGACACACAGTGCTGTCCAATATAAGCTTCTGATATTTACAAAAGGGACGCCTTTCTGCTGACGTTTTTCGTTGTTGCCACTATTGCTGTTCCTAATCAGCGTGGTCTAAATATAGAATCCCTGACCGCCCACTCGCAACACTTCGGTAATCGCCCCCTAAATGTATGCCATATGGCGGTTTAATTAAACTCGACTGTGCAAAAAAAAAGGAAGAAAAAAGGAAAACAAAGCAAAGATGTTTATACACAAGCCAAACAAGGATAAAGTTTTCGGTATCAATCATTTTCTAGAGGCAATTAAAGCCTTAACAGCTGTCAAAGTCAATCTAAAAGCCAAGATGTCAATGCTGATGCAACATCTTTGTCAGCTCTAGAGTAACTTAAAATATTAACAATAATTGAATCTTTAAACTATGACAGTTGCAAGGCTGCAAAGGACAGTTGGGAAAAGTGCAACTGTCTTTCTTTGCTCCTGTCATTGACAGCCAACAGTTATTTAATCAAAAAGTGTCAGGGATGCCATATGGCAGCTAAAGAACCGTTAAATGTATATTGAGGTTATGTATCTTCTGTTTTTTCATATGAAATATTATAATAATAATATTATTATTCCAAAAACGTATTATAAGGTAAAGAAATTTTTATTTTGCTTAATAACAAGACCGCAACTAAGTATTTAGTCCTGCACTTTACATGGAACACAAATATCGGAAAGCCTTAAAAAAAAATATGAAAATATATTTTTTTAAAAATATGAAGTTTTGTAGCTTCACAAATTATTTGTAACCCAATTTTGTTTTTCCAGAGCACTTGAATAATATTAAATAAGTTCGTCGTGGCAGCGCATTAAAGTGTGCTATGATTTTTGCCCTGGGCCCTTGTAAGCCCATTTGTGTGTATGCAAAAAAGGTTTTTAGGGTGGGTTAAACTCAATTTGATTTCCGTTTTCGACAAGCACCTAAAAATAGAAGCGTCAAAAAATCAGGACCATGCGCCGAAAGCGCCCATTTGTTTAGCATGTTTCATGTTTTTCTTGGTTAAATGTATCATTTCGACCCAAAACAAGCAATGTAAGGACTACCAGGAAATTCGTTTGTTGATTGTTTGTTTTCAATGTTCTACAAATTAGAAAAAAAAACTACAAGCTTTCAAAAAAAGCAGCATACTGTCATATGGAAATTCTTTTCTGAAATGCCATTTACGATGCAGTGCAAATGTTATTTTAACACTTGTCAGTGTGTACAGAAACCAAACACAAATGTTTTGTTTTGCAAAAACCCGGAAGATGAAAGTAAAAGGGCATTTAGAATGACATGGCTTCCTTTAGTTATTTATAAAGGTCTGAATAATAAATTGCGACATAATATTCAAATGTATTTATGGTTTTTAATTGCTTATTGTAGAATGTAAAATAGAATTATTTTTATTTTACTATCATTTATTTTGAAGTCATTTTAACAAAAGCATTGCTAAGCATATATGCATCATTTTGTTCTGTCATTTTCCCAAAAATATTTTCCCATCATTCATCGACTTACTTTCGGTTTAATTTGATAATCAAATATGCTCAATTGAACGGAAATTCTCTATATCAAACGCACAGCTTACATTCTTGTAAAGTTGTTCATCTCATTTGACGTTTATGCAGAGGCACACAGTGAGCTCCAAAGGTGTGTGTACACACATACATGTGTGATAAACGACAGCTTCTGCAGCATGACAGTTATACTTGCTGTGTTTTATTCGTAAGGATGACCTGTTCGCCAACCCCCTCTCTTATTTCATTTCATTGTGCCGTTACACGCGCAAAAATCCGTTGCTTGTTTGGGTAATATTATTTCTATCCCTAAATGTAAAGTAAATAAAAAAAAGCAAACATGTTTAATCCCTTAATAAGAAGTTTATATTTAAGTTTTTTTACTTTACCATAAAACAGTACAAAAACAGTATATTGAAAAAAATCGAAATTTTAAATAAATGTGAAATTCGCATAAAATATTTTTAATAAATATTATTATAAAGTATATCATAGATTTGTCTATTATTCAAAAAAATTAAGAAGGCTATTTTGTTCCAGTTTGTAAGTTCTCGATAAGTTGAAATTATTTTGTTAGCGGGTTTATTCTTCAGTGGTTTATTGCCTGCTGACCGTGTATAAAGACCATGGAAGTGACAAATTATATGCACAACGGTGGGACAATGGGGCGTTGGAGACAGATGAGTTGTGTGGAAGTGTCAGCATCAGTGTCAGCTTCGGTTTTACCAAGTGAAATGTTTTATGTGCAACCAGGAAGACATTTTTGGCCCTGTAAAATATGAGTTGCATTTTGCAGCAACTGGACTGCAGGCCATAAACTTTGACCTGCTCCACCTATGTGCCATATAAACTGTATTGTATCTCGTATATCATCTAATTGCACTTTGTTTATTGTTTATGTGTGCGTGTGTGTGTATTTTCCTTGCTTTTTGGGCATTCTAATTTTGTTTTATGTCTGGGACGTGCCTTGTCGGCCAATTGGAAATTTTATACCCATAGACTGACAATTTTAATTGACTTGTTTTCCATTGCAAAACAGAAGGGGCAGCTGTTGCAAAATGTGATTTGCATTTTGTTGATACTCAGGAATTACAGTCAGGCCCGAAGGGAGCTGTCTAAATATCAACAGGATTCACTGTTTAAGACGGTTTTTTTCCTGCTTAACCATTTCTAAGTAAGCCCTAAACAGGGATGCCTAAAAGTATGCCACAGCAAAAAATGTTAAGCATTGTCAGCCAGAGACCATTTTCTTCGGTCTCGAATTTCCCCCTCAGTCAATTAATTGAAGCCATTTCTTGGGTTCTTAGTTTTGGGAGGAGTTTACCTATTCCACTGCCTGCTTCTTTTTTTCCAGACTATGAAACGATTGCGTCACTTTCGTGTGGGCAAAATTTACGCACTTGCGTCTTAATTACTTACCGTTGGATCGCCTTTGTAGCAACCATTTTCGCTTTACTTCTCGGTACTCCTTCCATTTCCATTTCGTGTTTTGACTTAAGTCCTTAAGCTGCTTTCACAGTTTGCCTTGTTGCAAGCCGCCTTCTTTACCTTTGCGAAGTATTTTGATTATGGTTATAACTCAACTCGTCTTTTGCTTTGAAAGATTCATATTTTTCCATTTATCATAATTTAATAGCGTTTATATTGAAATTTTGGTGTTTTAAGATCGTTCAGTTTATAAACTACTAGTTTTTATCTGCATTTTTTGAGTGTCGCCCACAAAAGCATGAAAATGTAGACTAAGCTGTGTTCTCTTTATGGGGGCAAAAAATGTATGCGGATTGAAATCACATAAGTTTTCTATGCATATTTGAATGATTATTTTTTTCAAAAAATATTTACCTTCATAAGTAAAAACATGAACCCACTTTTTGTTTCTATTTTTACAGTATTAATTTCATGTATTGTTTTCACTTCAAATAATAATTTAAAGTTGAAATACTTTTAACTTTTAAAATGTAAGTAACGTTATTAAAAAAACTTGAAACTTATTTAGGTTTATTTTTATTATTTTAATATTATTAGAGTAGTTAGTTTTCGGCTTATAAATTATTTCCATCCCAGATTTATCAGTTGAGAAGCAAGGCAGCAGTTCTGGGGGATACATATAAATTTCCTTTTTGTGCGGCAGGTTTATCAGCATCCTTCCTTTCCTCCCCATAGTCATCATCGTCGTTGTCTTCAAGGACCTACTGCAACATGTTTGCATTTCATTTGTTAGCAAGTTGTCAACATTTTATCTATGTTATTATGTCTTGCCTACTTTTGAGCTCCTTTCTTTAGCATTCTCTCCCTTTTTTTTTTGTTAGGCTTTTTTTTCTAGGCTTAAAGGTAAGCCATTAAAGTTTCCGAGCACAGCGAGATATGGAGGCGGTGGTCTGTCATTAGTCAAACGTCGGGTATGCGAAAAAGTCTGGATGAGCGTGCTGCGAATTTATCATTTGCCCGCATCTAAGATAATCATAGGCCACGCGGCGTATAAGCAATAAAACAAATTAATACAAATATTAATCATACGCCGTGTGGTACCAAAATGCCAAAGATTAAGGTGTGCCGAAGTGTAGGCAAAACATCAAAAAGGTCATCTTAGCGCAAAATGTTGAGCATCTCTTCCCATTTCCCGATTCGTAATTCAAATGTCGTGCAACTTAGAAAAAGAAATTAAGGTCGTATATAGATTTTTTTTCCATAAAACATTGGGCTATCGTTCGTTGATTGTGTTATTCTCCTTTTTTATATGGATTTCATGATTGTAAAGCTTGAAGCATACTTGGCTTTTTAGGCATTATATAATCATGCTATTATTTTCATCAATGTTTTTGATGTTTGTTTTCCGGTGACAGAAGTCTAACTTGTTGCGTTTGCAAAGCTGAAAGCTCGGAGTTGGTTTCGGAACTTCTGTAGTTTCTGCGTTTTATCGTTTACTCGTGCGTAATAAAAGAGAGAGTTTCAAGAAAAACCAAGAGTACATAGAGAAAATTACTCGCCAAGGAGAGTTGTAGCCTGTTTGAGTGTGAATATTTGAGTGAAAACAAGGTTTTTTGAGTTAAAAGTGGCAGTGCTTTTTTTTTTAAATAGTATTAAGATTACTTGCTTCCGTGGAAGTTCTTAGTTTGATAGACTTAGGCGGAGTTTACCAACACAAAGAAACTTTAAGTTTGGTAACCAAAATGTTAAATCGTATTAAAAAAATGTATAAATACTGGTTTTAAGACTTCTTTACTGTATTCAAGTGCTTGCATGCAAAATGTATTGTATCCGTTTAAAATATCGTATTAACCGATTTATCAAAGTTGAAGCTTTGGAGGTCTTGGAGGCAGCAATATCGTTTCTTTTCCTGTTGCTTAATTTATTTTGTTGTTACCATCTTGCCGCGCTAATTAAATTTGTTGGTTTACTCACAAACTGATGCGCAGGCAAACGAGAACATGCCCACATACTATAAGTATCTGAGCCCCCTTTGCGCTTTTTACCGTCGTTCCTTTGGCGTTGCCAACTTAATTGCATTTTTCAAAGCTTGTGGAGAACTCATAAGTTTGCAACTTTTTACTCAGCAAAAAAAATTACTCGGGCTTTGAATAATAGCCAGTTAAATAACATTTACTTTCATTTATGAATCATCAAGATATGCTTATTAAATAATTTTTTTTTTAAAATATATTTATAGTCTCCCATATTGAAAAATTGAAACGCTTTAATTATGTTTTCCCTTTTTAGTCATTGTCCTTTCAATTTATTTGGTAGTTAGTGGGCAGAGAAAATATTTGTTCTATTTAAAAATGCTTCTGCATTTCAATTCTAAAATCGTGCGTCAGGAAATGGAAATGAGCTCATAAATATTTTGCGGCTGTTTTTGTAAACAGTTTTCCCTGCTTTTCCGCCATCCTCGCCAAATTAAACGCACTGAAAAATGACCAAATGCATTTAAAATTATTTCTAACAATTGCTTTGATTTTGTTTGATGATATTTGTTTTGTGCTTGGCTTTTTGGCGACCATAGATTTAATTATTTGTAATTAATTTTTATAAAAAGTCGTTTGTGTATTTGTGTACAAACAGTATTTAAATTTAGGCATTGGCTTTTGACCAAGATCAACCATTTATCGCTGGCTTGTTGCCTTTGTTTAAATGAGTACTATTTAATTATATTAAATATTTATTATTTTTGTCCAAATACTAACCATTAAATGGTAAACATTTGCAATAGGAAAAACCACTAAGTTAATTAAAAAGTTTATCTAACAAATAAGTATTTTAACTTGTGATCAATTATCGAATTACATGCAAAACATTTAGTGTCAATAAAGCTTAAAGGTTAGATATATAAATATACTTTTACAAGCAATAATAAATTAAATGCAACAAGAAATATAAAAGCTCTTTTTTACGATAAGGCTTGTTCATTTTTGTAAATTTCTCTATTATTAAAAGTGCAGTCAATATTGATGCTTGAGCTTTGTTCGTTGTGGTGCCTCGAAATTTTCCGACATATTTAACTAGTGTAAATTGAATAGAAAATAACTTCCGGTATATTGTATGTATTATTCAATGATTTGGCTGGCCGCAAGAACTCGAACAACATTTTCTGGCGTCTGGCGGCAGGACACGTTGCTCATACGCCAGGTCAGCCGCATAAAATATTGAAATTGTTGACCAAAACACAATTTACACATACATTTTGCATATTGACTAATCTCCTCGTGTGCGTGTTGGCATGTGACAAAAGTTGTTGAATAGATTTTCATTTGCATTTGTGTACTTTTAGCTGATTTTGTCATTGCCACTCGTGTTGTTTTTTTTATGTTCTGGTGTGTTTTTGTTTATTTATTTGATTGTCGGTGTGGCAAAATAAATAATTAAATTAAAATGAGCTTAAATTGAATGTGTTTAGGTCTTAGGACTTAGCTAAATTTATTTACCGGCATTAAACATTTATTAGCTGATTTATATTTAAAATAGTATGTCACTCAGTTTAATGTGTGTTCAAATTATTTTCAGAAGTAGAATTCCATTTTTAAATTTAGTCAACCAACTTTGCCATTTGATTACACACGTTCTACCAATTAAACTATGTTTCTACAACAAAGTAAAGGGCACTGTTCCCCCAAGTTGTGCAAATATTTTTAGTCATCGTTCTCCCTCTCTACTTGCATTTATGATTTGCTTTTAATTAAAATAAATATTTTATGGCTTTCAATAAACAATCTGCAAAGAAGCTAAAAAGGCAGAAGGGTGAAAAACAACACAAGTCAAACTTTCCTCTGGAGCCTGAGAGGGCAAAGTTGATAGAAAGTGAAAAGCTTCTTGAGTTAAACAATTTTCCTTCTGTTTTTTATTTCGTTGCAGGCATTGGCAATCCAAAAGGTGTAAATAATTGAGGCCATAAACTTGGCCCTTGTGTTTAGCCAAGCTCAACTTTTGCGACTTCGTTTGTTCAGCAGCAACATGACACTTTTAGCAACAATGTGCAAAGGCGGACCCAATAAATTGCAACTGTTGTCACAACAGGATCTCAAATTGGAATCTCTGATTAATGCGATCGAAACCTGTAATTACTAATAAAAGAATTGAATTAAGCTCCAGCCAAAATAAAAATAATAATCAATATGGCAGCTGCTGTCTTGGAGGTTAATGAAAGCAAATTGGAGTTGGTGTGCGATGAGTGTGACTATTATGGCTCCACTGATCCGATATTCATTGATAATAGCACCCAAACCGATGGCTATGATGATGATGAATCGGAGCTAAAGCCGCTGAAACCCAGATTGAGTCAAATCGTTGAGGAGGAAGTGGAAGCGGAAGCGCTGACAAACGATGAAGTAGAAACGGAAGTGAATACAAACGGTATACGAAGCGATAACATAGACGATAGTGAAGGGATAAATGGAGATGAATCGAAGGAGCCGGATAAATTGATAGAGGAAACTGCGATTGAAGAGCAGGAAACAGAAAACATTGCTGAGGTGCCAGTTGATTCCGATGATGATGAAGAGGAAATCGATGATGTGACCAGGCTAACGAACTTAGCCTTGGGTATGGGCTATGCCCGCATTATAGACTACGATAACTTGCGCATTATCGAGCATGTTATCGAAAGCGACGATGAGGAGGATAACGGTGTGGCTGCAGCTGGTACAGCAGCAACATCAACGGAATCGCAGCAGGCCTGTCAAGATTTAGTGACTTTTATCGGTGAAAGCTATCAGGTAATCGAAAGGTCAGGTCACAGCCGTGAACCGACGGTGGTTGACAACAACAACAATAATCGCAGCAGTGAAATATCCTCAAATGGCCGTGGCCTCATCAACGACAGATCGAAATCCGGCCGGAAAACGCAAAGCGGAGAGCAGGCAAATCAAAAAGCATCAACCAGTGCATCTGCAACCAGCAGCAATAGCAACAGCAACAGTAGCAACAGTAACAGCAACAATAGCAGCAACAGCAACACTAGCAACAACAGTACAACAGCAACATCTAATAGCAGCGCCTTGATAAAAGCCTATAAGTCGAATCTTACCCCATTGGCGCCACCCTTTCAACCAGCCGCATTGAAGGCCAAGCAGCAGCAACAAACATCGCTTGCCAGTGGCAACTTGTCGACGGTGACAACGACAACAACCACGGCTCTGGGCTATGCCGCCTACGAGCAGACGACGGTTTACTATCAGCAGCAAGTTCAACAGCAGCAGCAGCTGCAGCAGCAACACCTGCAACAGCAACAGTTGTCACCCAAGCAGCAGCAGCAGCAGCAACAGCAACAGCAGCCACAGCCACAGCCACCCTGTGCCCAACATGGCGGCTTGCCGCATATTCATGGCGCCCAACTGCTGCCCGTGCAGTTGATTACCTTGCAACCGAATGGGGTAACAGCAGCAGTTGCTGCAGCAGCTGCAGCGGCGGCGGCAGCAACAGCAGGAGCAACGGCTGGAGCAACTGTGACGGCAGCAACTCCGGCAGCAGCAGCAGCAGCAGCAACGGTTGGTGCGACAGCAACATCTTTGACTGGCGCCGCTTGGCCACTTGTGGAGGCGCCAATTTACATTGACATCAATGGCGAATATCGCAGCTATTGCCCGGCACATGGACCGCCGGCAGTGACAGCCCCAAATGGCGCCATTGCCCATCATCCCCACATTCACGCCCATCTCCACACGCATTCGCATGCTCACTCCCATTCCCATCACGCACAGCAGCAACAGCAACATCAGCAGCAGCAGCAACAGCAACAGCAACAGCAGCAGCAGCAGCAACAGCAACAACAGCAACAGCAGCAGCACCTTCATCATCACCATCAGCAACATGGGCAGCATCAGCAACATTTGACGCCAGCGGCTGTGACAAATGTTAATGGAAACATTGCACAGGCTGCAGCGGCAGCAGCCCCTAGATTGCTCCTGCAACTGGACGCAGCAACTGTCCAGCAGCAGCAGCAGCAACAACAACAGCAACAACAACAACAGCAGCAGCAACAGCAACAAATCGTGGCCGCTGGCAAGCGTAGCAAAGTTTATCGAGGTGAGTGGCCGTTTTATGACATTTGTTGTACAGTTTTTATTCCCGTCCATGATGCCCAGGGCTATTTGGGTCCATATAGTTTGTTCAAAGAATGGCCCATGCACTGTAAAAAAAATATATTCAACCCCCTATTTATATTTCTTGACTTCCAATTAAATTAATTTAAATGAAATTTAGATTTTAAAACTGATCACATTTGCTTAAACATTATATATAAGAATTGTAATCTATAATATTTCCCATGTTTAATAATAATTTTTCTGTGCAGTTACCATATAGAGTCTGGCCGATCTAAAGTGTCTTCCCTGTAACTTTGGCCATTACTTTCCGCTTTGATTCATGGTGGCAGTGTGTGTGTGTGGAATGGGGGTAACATGGAACTCTATTTCCGGGAGCCCTCCCGACCGCAGCCTCCTTTTGGCAACCTCGTAAGCGACCAGGGACTTAATCAGTTAAGCAAAGCTAACTGAGCCGGCAAGCCAACTTGGCCCTTTAGTATGTGTGCTGACCTGGTCAGGGTTAAAATTAATTTCGAATCCGTTGGGCGCTCCCTTTGTGTGTGGATTGTTTGCTTTTTGGGCCAGTCTGAGGTAGCGAAAGCATTCGTCAAGTTCTGACTTGTTTGCCAGGCTTATTTGCCAAATAATCTGTTTGTTTGTCCATGCAATAAGTAGTTCTCTGCCCTGGCATCAGTTGACATAGGCAGGTTGCACTGTGTTGGACCTTCGACAACAGAAATTAAACAGAGAGAACCTTTGTGGAATGTAAATTAAGAGATCAATGCTTTACTCGGATTTTAAATTTATTGAAGTTGCTTGAACGTGTCTTGCAAAGTGTTTTTAAGAAAAAAATCTCACCTGAGAGTATCTGCCCTTGGAGCTATTTCCACTATCGATAGACAATCCTCTTTTGAAATCCTGCCCTATTTGTCCACTTTTTATTGCCTTTGGTTCGACACCTGGCAGTTGGCCTGCATCTTCTGTTGACTTTATCCGGCGAAATCTAATCCGATTCATTCTCACCATTTTCAGTTGTGTTTCAATTTGCATTTGAGCTCGCCGAGACCTGAGCACCCATCTCCATCCATCCTTCGCATAAAGTGTGTTTGGGCATCTGGGGCTCTTTGGATCAGTGGATAGTGCATATTGAAGTCATCACAGTTGGCGACACTCCCAGGCAATTTTGTGCGCCAACTTGACCATATCCAGCTGTGTGTATGCAGATGATACTGTGTCACCAGATTCCCCAGAATCCGCTCGTTTTTATTCGTATTTTTTGTTGTTGTTGTTGCTTGGTGGCACTGCCAAGTTTGCCGGAGAGTGTTCTCCACTCTTAGCTCCACTCACATTGTACATTTATATTTTTTTTTTGTTCGACTGCTCCGCCACACGCTGTGGTCTTATGGACTACCCGATTTTTCGTTATGTTTGGCCCCATGCAACTTGGTTGCCATACCATCTCTCATCTCGTCTCCCATTTCCACCATTGGCCATCTCTTTCGCACAATGGTGTCCATTTCCCTTTGTGACGCCGCTTTTTCGCAAATTTTCACTTACCCATACGAATTTTAATTTTTTAACTATTTCTTTTTTCCAACTCCGGCAAAAAGCCAAAAACATTTTTTATCTCAGTTTAGCTATTTCCCTCCATTTGCCATCTCTTTCGCTCTTTTCGTGAGTGTATCCCTTTTTTGTGTTCATTTTTAATGTGTTGTCCTCGTTTTATTTAATTTTGTTCCAAAATATTTTTCAAAAATAATATTTCCTCACTGTTTACAGCTTTGCTTAAGTAAGCAAAAATGTCTTGAGAATTTTACTAGAATTACTATTAATTTGTTAACATACTTTTGATAATCTGAGTCTTAAATAATTTTAAGTAGTTTTTACCAAATGGATTAAACTTTAGAAAATAAATATAATATTTTTTAAAATTTAATATCAAAAGGATGTTAATGCATCGAAAAGTGTAGCTCAAATGCTGCGGAGTTACTTTGCCCGGAATCCGAAAATCTCTTGGCTTGTTGGCTCTTTGGTGAACATAAAGTGCGTAGCATGAGGCATGCATCATTCCCGCCGGCTGTCCTATAGTACTCCTTTCGCTCCTTTCTCCGTCAGTCGACAGTCGCCAGTGTCCATAGTCCTGGCAGGCACATCCTCAAACTCCACCGCGTCCGCATCCATGTCATTTCGATGCCCCATGTCCAGTGTCAATTTTACCATCCCATTTTGTCTTTTTGGCTGCCAGCGGATTTGAGCGAATTTCTTTTTCCATTTTGCTCACTCCTTGTTTCCTTTTTTTTTTACATTTTTTTTCTTGGGCTATGGCCAGTGCAGGATCAGCCGCCTGTTGTCATAATTTTAGCACTCACTATGCGTTGATTTCTCTATTTTTTTGTTGCGTTCTTTTTAACTGCAAAATGCATTTTCAACCCCTCCCCACACTTTTAATGTCATTTGCTCTGGGTGATTTTTTGCACTGCCTCTGTGTGTTGACTTTGTTTATTTTTAATGGTGTAATTTATTTGAGGCTCGTTGCCTCCGCCACTGGTTGTTGGTAGACGGTAGTCGGTAGTCGGGATCCCATTGGTTTATGGCTTGTAAGTTGTTTATTATTAATGTTTGGCTTATGCTGGCAGTTGTCGGGCCTCTACTGGGTTGGTTTTTGGTTTGGTTTGCCGCTGGTTTCGTTCAGTTGAGTTCGGTTTGGTTGCACTTTACGGGCATGAGCTCATAATGAAGTCATAGTTATCTGGCCAGCCCCCCGTTTTTACCATACTCGTATCTGTTGGCCATAAAATATACGCGTATGCGTCATATTGCGACAATGCTCCAGGCTCCCTCCCATTTCCATTCCCTTTCTCCCGCATTTCGGCATCCGAAAAATTTCCCGCTCCCATTTTCAAGCCGAGCTGCATGTTCTTGTGCATTAGCAGCACTTATGCATTATTCGCATTAGTCATGCCCTGTCTGCGCTATGCGACTATATTTCTCTATATCCGCCTGGAAAGGAGATAGTCTTGGGTTGTTTTTTAAACTGTAACAGCAAAATATACAAATTGTAGCTCTGTTTTTAAAAACAAAGAAAAGACATAAACAATATTTTTTATAAATACCTACTAAAAAAAAATATTGTTTATTAAATGTATTTTCTTTGTTAATTAATTTTTAAATATTATATTATTATATAATTTATAAATATTATATTATAATATTATTAATAAAATTATATAGCTAGTTGAAACGTTAAATAAAAATGTATGTATTTTTTTATATGGCCAAAGAAAAATTTAAATTTTTGAAAATGATACCTCTTTGTTATTTAAGATTAATCAAATTATTTAAAAGAAATCCCAGAATTAAGGGGGGGTAAGGTTTTAAAATTTTTTTTTACATTTTTTTTTATATTTTTTTATGAATGACCAATATGTCGAGAACATTGTGTAAAAATTTGGAGTCAATTAAAGTCAAACTAACGGAGTTACAGCGTTTTAAACAACCGTATTTGGACGTATTTTCACGTATAAAAATACTTTGAATCGATTTTGCCGAAGACGTTATTTTGAAAGTCGGTGAACATCAGAACTCAAAATCTACTGAGCAGATCCTTTTCCAATTTTTAACACAAATTCTCAACATAAATACGCAGGTAATCAGGAAGAGTTTTTTTTAATTTTTAATTTTTTTCTATTTTTAAAAAATAAATTAACAGCGATTTTTAAGCTAAAATCGCACTTTTCACTTTCAAGTGCTCTCAAAAATAGACAAAAAATAAATTTAAAAAAACTCTTCCTGATTACCTCGGGAAATTCATTATCTTTACAACGCTTATCACATTTTATTTCTAAGATGATCCGTTAACGCCCTATGATGTTCACCGCAAAACAACTTTTTCTTTGGGCGCTTCGGAAGATTAACCGCCACGGGCTTATTTCTTAATATTTTTTAATAATTTTTTTTCTAATACTCTTCAAAAGTTAAACAATAACATGCAATTAAGCTCAATAAAATAAACTTACTCATTTTGCCGCAAAAAAAAATCAAACATGGCCCTTTTTTTGGCCTTTAAAACCTTACCCCCCCCCTTAAAGGGAATTATATGCTGAATTTAAAAACAGTGGCTTATCAGCCTTATTATATTATAATTCAGAGAACGTCAGACGTAAACATTTATATTGGTTATCAGCCAACCTGCTCTTCTTAGAAATAAAACATTTAAAAATACCAACAGATGAATATATAAATACAATTCTACAGTAAGCAAATAGCTTAGTTCTTTTCTGAAAGCAAACGAGGAATAATTTACTCCCTAAAATGTTTTTGCTTGCTGTTTGGCTTGGAGCAATGATGCTTGGAAGGATTCACGGAGGTCTCTTACTAACCACTGAGGGTCCAATTTCCGGAGGACCTTTGCCGGAGCCGCCGACCCAACTGGATGGATGCTGTTTCTCGGCACTGAAAGTAATGCTGGATCATGTGGCTGCTCATCAGACGGAGTGGGATTCCTGTGAGAGAAGTCAACTGGATGCTGCTCAGGGGGAACAGGAAAGGATTGGAGGACGACTGGCCGATCTGCAGGCCAAACTATCCACTGAAAGTTTGCCGGAGAACAAGACCAACGTTGCCATTCCAAGGGATTTCATCAGAATTGGTTCGAAATACTACTATATCGAACAAAGTAACAGGCAAAATTGGTATGGCGCTGCAAACACTTGTCGCCAAATGGGCGGTCACCTGGTCAGCTTGGAAAGTCGCAAAGAGCAGTCTGATATCGAGAAGCATCTGAAACATATGGAAGTCTACTGGCTGGATAGCACTGATTTGGCCACCGAAGGTACCTTCGTTCACATGAGCACCGGCAAACCGGCAAGATTTCTAAATTGGGGTTACGGCGAGCCCGATAATCACGGCAACTTTCAGCACTGTAATTTCCTGTATAATGGCTATTACTATGATAGCCACTGCAACACCAAGTGCCTTTTTATTTGCCAGGCCGGCAATGAAATTTAAGAAATATCTAATAAAAAAATATTTTAAGCCAACATCGAAAGGGTGTATTTATTTTAAGATTTTAGGGTATCGAAGTTTTATTCTGGTATGATTAAACATCAAACATATTTCAATATAATAAACGGGATTATTACTATGGAAAAGCATAAATATAAATATAATTTATTTTTTCTAAAGTACTTCTTATTTAACGAGGGAGAGATATTGAGTACATTGGAAAAAAAAATGTTTCTGAACGAATAAGTTTTGTAAGTGTAAGCGATTGGTGAATAAATAACCCGAAATGAAAAATTGATTTATGTTTAAATCAAAATATTTTAATTATGTGCAAAAAATATATTTTAATAATACCGAACGACCCACATAATGCACAATAAGAACATGTTATATATTTTAGTTTAATTTGTTTATTTACTATCTGCTTGACAAATAAAATAATTCTTGGATGCACAAAGGTTGTATTTCATTTGTTTGTTAATCACTGAAACACAGCCCCGAGAGTCTTCGAATGAAATTGGCTCCCCGTCGTGCCAATCCAAAAAGGGAGCTAAGTTTCCGGAGGATGTTGAGATATACTCGCCCTTCACGGACATATCGTTGATATCCAACCAAAACTCATAGTCCTTATTGAGCCTGGTCGAGATGAGAGCCATTTCCTCTGCGCTTCCGATATTGGCGAGATATCCGCCTTTCTGTCGACAAATATTTGAAGCTCCGAACCAATTCTGCTTGCTCCGTTTTTCAATGTAAAAGAAGCGAAAACCAATCTTCTCGTATGTAAGATGCAAAAGCCTCGATTTTTGTGTGCAGGTCGTCCAGTTGGTTTTCAATCCTAGTCTGTTCCGCATTCGTTTCACTTTTTTCGCAGGCACTCAATCGACTTTTCTGAGCAGTAATCATGTCCAACATCGGTTGTAGAGTCCTTACGCAGGACTCATTACAGTCTGATATTAAGCCTGGAATATTAAGATTATTCGACGAAGATTCACTGCAACTGGCAGCTATTATTGTGAAAGAAAAGATTATTGCTAGCTTCAGCATTTTTGAAAGTAATATTTTTAAAGGAATTTGTGTTTACCGAATGGTGTTGAAAAGAAAACTGATTTACTCCGTCTTTAGATCGGCTGCTTTTATATGTTCATCTGATCTCTTGCGAGTAAAGTGCGCTCTCAGATTTATTGAGTATTTTAAGATGAGTGATAAGGGACTTCTACGAATAGCATGCAGTGATTCATTTTATTTGGAATCACGCTGGATCAGCTTTATCGCTTATAATGTTTTGAGATTTAAAATATATATTGTTTTTAATATAGTCGACAGGCTGGCTAGCCAATCTTTGTACAAAAGTGAAATCATTTAAATCTAACTAGTTTTTTTTCGAATATACCCGATAACTAATTTACCTAAGCTCTTTAATAACATGAGCTCATAGCAAGTTTTTTGAACTAGTTGATATTGTGCATCCGACACCCACGGCAAGTGACAAACACTGGAAAAAGTTTTTAATGAAATGTTTAAAACTTGCAGCAAGGGGAAAATCGGAGAATCGAATCCGGTTAGTTGCTGCTTGCCAGTCATGTGGCCAAGTGCTGACACCAATTATCACAACTTTCAATCGGCTTTTCGGCAAGGGTTCTTGTGGGCGAAACTTGCTCCAACAATCCGGCTCAAGTCGAACTTAATTAAAGCGCTTAAAGCACTGCAGTTGTCAGATGGAGGCCGAAATGTACGGTTGGATTGTTTCACAAATTGGAGAGCTGTAGACCAAAAACCAAACACGACAAACAAGTAAAGTTAGTGCCTTTGTTTGAATTTGCGCTATAGGATGTGGCCCTAAACTGAGGAAATTTCTACGCAAAAATTTATCTCGCCCTTTAAAAGCTTTTGCGGATAATAGTAATGAAAAAATTGGAGGGTAAAAGCGCTTGAACTGAAATTATGTGCTCTTATAATTGCAGCACAGTCTGACGGCAGATTTAATTGTTGCCCCGGGACGGGGAAACACACAGAAGTAAACGAAGAACACAAAAGACACTGGCAAGTGCAACAATTGAAATTGTTTTTGCTGGGTTTCGGGTTCGGTACCCAAAGTTTCTTAGTCGGGCCAAAAAGTTTCTGCAGCTGCCAAGGAAAAGCACAGTTTGTAGTGGAATCCAGTGCCTCCTTTCCAACCATTACCCATATTTCTTCACACATGTGTTTGCAAAATCGGTGGCTGCCTTCAAGTTTGATAAGCGCCACAACCGTGTTTGCTTAAACCCCAAACAAAACCACAGGAAAAAATTACAGACTACTAACTATTCTTTACTTTGTCCATGGCATATTGTTCAACTTGAACCTGTGCATATTTTGTATGTACTATAAGGTTGAACAATTTTCATGGGGGCGAACAACTGAATTTATAGGTTACGGTGCGTATACGTGATGTGAATTGATTTAATTTGGTTTTGTTAAAGCAACAGAAAGTGATATGAAATTATTTGTATACAGATGTTGTACTACATAGCTAAAATAGATACATTTAATGCTAAAAGCATTTATCAAATCGTATTAAATGAAGAGATGTAAATTCCACTATTTTGACTTTAAATAACTTTGGTTTCTATTAAATTAGATTTTCCACAAGCAAAACAATGCTAATTATTCCGAAACCAAAACCTTTTGAATAATCGATTGTTAATTGATAACTAATTTTGTAAACCAATTATTCCGCATTTTGCTGAGAGTCCAGTGTGATTGAACATTTTTTAAACAACGCCTATTGTAACGAAAATAAACTTGTTTTTCATATAAATTTAATTTACAGTCTATTTAAGTACGTAAACAATTTAACAAGTGCCCTTCATCAACTGGAAGCTAAGAGTGGTTTGGCTGGTGTCACATCCTTAATCTCAAATAAGTTCCCTGAGATCAGAGTGTTGCTTCTTTTCTAAGCACTTGACTGCATTTCCTTTTGCTTTTCACCTTCTGAACTTTCAACAAAAAGATGTCATGATAATGCATTTGACAGTTGCAGCAGTTTTCCCCTCTTTTCCACTTTTTTTTCGATTTTCAATTCAGTAGTGTGGCTTAAACGACTTGAAATTCGGCATTCGAATATGTTTTACCTCTTTAGAACCGATTTAAAATATGACATATTTCTGAAAATAAAAAACGTTTTAAAATAAAATTGTATACTTAATGAAAAAAGATTTTCTGTGAATCCATTAGCTTTTAAAATAATGATTCCCTTTTCTAAGTTGCATCAATGTGCTACTAATAAATATTTTGTTTTGTTTTACAAGTTGCATTTTATTGTATATCGTATTTCAGTTGTTAAAAGGAATTTTAATACTCAACTTTATTAAATCTGCGCGGTATTAAAAATGGTAACCCCCCCCCCAGTTACCTAAAGTCTTTCAGCTGTTGGCAGTTTGACACAAGGACATATGGCGGGGTGGGAAAATAAGAGAAAAACTCACAGGGAAAGCTGCGGAGACAGTGCGAAGAAAATGCATATGTAACTGTAACTCTGGGAAACATTCCTTGACTCGTTTGAAGTTGCTACGGTTGTGTAATTTACTAGAATGTTACGTTTTATATTCAATTTTAAGATGCACATATCTCAGGTGTCATTTTATTTCAAATTAAATTTCAGTGCTGGAAAGATTTATGTATGCAAGTCTGCATTCCTCTGAAAAATATGGAAGCATGGTTTCCTCTTATATTTTGTAAATGTTTTTGTGACTTTAAGGGAAAATTTATTTACGAATAATTTCTTAATTATTATATTTATTTAAAACCTGATAAGAGAATTCTCATGTTGAGCTCGCTAGCTGTATATGAAATCCCTGTTCTTAAATATTCTATGGAGCGATTGTCGCACAAGGGTCACGTGTTTTAGCTTAAACGACAATTTGCATGCAAAACGAGAAAAGGTGAAAGGGTGTGTGTGGAAAAGCGGTCAGAGGAGGAAAGGGGGAGCGACGATTTTCCCCATGCAATCTTAGTGTCGAATGGTGCCAAGTTGGCAATGCACTTTTTATGTTCGTTTGGCGTGCAACGTAACAAATTTAACCGTAGACAGATTGCACATGTGTACCGTTTTGTAATGTTATACAAGTATTACATACATACAGCACTTTTGGGTGCACCGCACACAGATATGCCATATATATACATATACAGATATTCCGCACACAGATATTCCACACACACACGGATATCTTTATGCGCAGGCAAGACACTGAAGTCTGGCAAAAGTTTTCATGTCGGCCAAGGGAAAAAGGGAAAATAGCGAGGGAAAGGTTCCACAAATGTGAAACAAATTGTTTAATGTTCTATCTCCCTTTCTGTCACAGCTTCCCTCCTTCCCGCCTCATTTTCTCTATCTCCCCATTTTTGTGTACACCAAAAGAAAAATTTCTATCCTTGTAAGAAGTTGTAACAGAGCGAAACCCAAAACATTTCTCTAAGTGCATTTGCGTGCTTTGCTCCGGTTGAGTTTGTCAATGCTACAATTTCTCGACGTCGACATTTGCAGGGTTTTACTAATCGCACGATTATTACCTCCATTTGGATATATTTTCTCCAATTGTCTCTAAATCCGTCTGCTCCTTCGTCTCTTTCAGTTCTCCTCCTTTGCAGCCATCAAAATCATGGCTTAATCGCTCTGACTTGTTGTGGCTAATTGCAATTTGAAACGCTCCATGAGATGAGACGAGCTGAGCTGACTTTGATTTGCCCTAAGTCGGCAGTTGTCACACAGTTTTTATGTCAATTGGCTGGAACCCAAGTTTTCTTATGCGGGTGTTTTAGAAATTGAAGTTTGGGTTTAGTGAAAAAGTTTTACGGGACTAGACAGACTTAAATTTTTGTGTTGGCAGTTTCTATTAAATTGTTTTTTAAGTGAATATTTGTATTTATTAAATTCGAGATTTGGCAATCCGAACTTTAACACTTAGTTAAGAATTGAACTTTTGGGATCTATTTACCCCAAAACCTCCTTTTATCTGCAACTTCCACATATTCTCAGCAAATCATCAATCAATTT